TAAATTCACTCATTCTCAATTGTGCATTGAGAACAAACAGTTAAGATTACTTGTATAGTTCTTGGATTAAACCTCATATCCTCACCGTCATTTATGTTTTTAACAAACGTTTTTACTAAAAAGCTGATACTTCGTTTTCGTTGTCATTTTGCGGTAAGTGTGTAGCGGCAAATTTTAGCATTTTTGAAAGATTTAAAATAAAAAGGCCCGCAAAATGATGAATGACTCAGTATGTATATAATAAACACAATACCACATGGAAAGTGCTTTGTACGGTATTTACGCACTCGTTGTTGTTGTATCAGAAATCTTACTCGTTCGCTGCGCTCACTCGTTCGATTTCGGATACGTCAACAACTCGTGCGTAAATACCGTACGCCAGCACTTTCCATAAAAGCTTCTGAAGGAAAGTTGATGATTTTTCCGGTTGTCAAAGACGTGTTGCAAGCACGCTCAACCTTCACTGCGCTTTAATCATTGTTACTCACCAAAACAAATCACTAAATAAAGCCATAATTCAACTCATGTAAAACAAACCTAGTCTGGGAAAATAGCCTACATTTCGCGACGCCACCACTGGTTTCCCCGCGAAATGACGCCTGAGAAACGAGCGCAGAAATTCCATACTGATGACGTGTCACTACCCAGATCTGGGTTTAACTTCAGGGTTCAATTTTAATTTTCCGACGAGTATCCCCATAACTTTTATGGAAGACGCCCCTCTCCTAACTTTCATGTGGAACTCATATACATTTAAAGTTTGTTCGCTGGAGTTGAATTGCCTTCAAGTTTCAATAATTTAATAAATAATTTTTTTATTTATACATTAACCCACATTCAAAGTATAATTAAATCGGGAACAAACAGCAAAACGAAAGAGGATGGCACTGTTTGTCTTTTTTCAATTAATGTATAATAATTTACTTGTCATATGCATGGAAATGGTAGCATTGGAAATGTAACAGCAATTTTCCAATGCCTTATCAGTGCGTTTTGCTTAGTGCTGAAAAGGGCCTTTTGGAGGATTACAGCCGTCATATTTCTCTGTTGAATATTACATTGTTTTTAAGCTAAGAACACAATAAAACATTTCAACAGGCAAATGTGATGGCAATATTTGCATGCTGCAATTAAATTCACCCTCTAAAGAAGATGAAAAAGGTTTCAATTAAATAATCCATTAATCCCCAAACAATGCTACAAGCAAAAATAAAACACCTCAATGTGTACATCATTGAGTTTTATCTATTTTGGTCCGGAAATAAAAAAGTAAGATGACAAAATTTGCTCTGACTGTGAGAGAATTTCAAATAAAACAGTATTGCTGTTGTTTAAGTACTAAGGGAGTTGAATAAAACACTATTCAAAATAAATTTAAAAGAATCATTTATATATATGCGACACTGTGTTCCAAGTGTGTACTATTAAGTACTATTATAGACAGAAGTAAACATATAAATTAATTATAATAAATTAATTGGCTTTTGAACATAGCCGAAATGAAGAATTAATTCATGTCTGCCTTAGCTATTGGATACATGACAAGTTGGAACTGTGTTGGTCATTTGCATGCACAACCATCCTCTTACTCTAGCTTCAAACCTTTTTGTGTGGTAAACTTTAACCTTTACTCTTGTTTGGCTTGTAGTCCTAAATACATCCAAACACTATCACACATAGAGACACTACCACCCATGGACCTTACATTGGTCAGCAGACATAATATTCATATGCAGCTATGTCTGATAACAGCATGAAACCCTTTCAAGTCTCCTTTGGAGCCAAAATATCAGTCCACTGCATGTCAAGATATTTCAGTTATTGTAATAATTTGAGTTGATTCTACTGACAGCTGAGCAGACCTTTATTCACTATAAATAAGTTTTGTGTTTTCCCCTCCTTTTCCCCTATTACAACTGGTATCCCATATAATAAGGTAAATAATAAGATTTGTGTCATTTATCTTGCAGTCACCAAAAGTCATATTTCAAGTTGAAAAAGCATACCATAATTTCTTTTAATTTTTAAAAAATCTTTTTGTAAAATAAATTAAGATAGTTTAGGAACATGATATATTACAATAGTTACTGTAATAAATATAACTAACTGTAGAATAGAGTGTGTATGTACAATACACTTTTGTTGAAACTAGGTGCAAACAATTTCCTGTCACAGATCAGGGTTCAGTCTGATTTGGGTCACCTTTGTTATCAACTAGATTTGTTTTCATCTCAATGTCCTCATTATTAGCATTCTGGTTGGCATCAGCTCCCCTAAAATGCAAAATAATCCAGTATCCTGTTAATCAACTACAAATAATGAAGTTATCTAGTTTTTTAGCAGGGGAGCCTTAACTTGAACTCAGTGTACTCATAAGAACCAGCAAAGAAGAATGAACTCCCACCGACTCTTTATGTCAATTAATTTTACACAGGATTTGAGTTACTTTCTCACTGCTATTTGTGAATATAAACCCTACAAAAATGCCTCTTTGGGATTTGTATGAGGTCATCATGTCTAAACAAGTCAAGACTATTAAACATCTTAGAAGGACACTAGCCTGCAATCAATTTTGACTAAATGATACATGTACAATTAAGCCTTAGCTTTAATTTTCATTAAATTTAACCATTTATGTACTGCACCCACCCCTGAAACTATTGCCATTTTAAAATTTAAAAAAAATTAATTTTTATCACACTTTCTTTCTTTTAACTGCTAATTGTACTTACTTTTTGCCAATAGCTAAGACACCGTACAAGGCAGCAGTTATCATGATGGAGCCACAGCCAACAAATGTGGACACTTCAAGGCAAAATATTACTGGAAGAATAGCCAACCTGTAACACAAATCATAAAACAGGCCTCTTTTAGAGCTTGTACATTTTGTTTTCCAATAGAAGGTCCCAGGGGAACTTGTCTTTTCACAAATTGTGTGTGAATAAGACAAAATTTGAAAGAAACTGAGACCTCAAGAGTATCATCACTACTAATGGGAAAACAAAACAATTAACAAGCTAAAGAGGTCTACTAAAACTTGAAATCACTAAGTCCTGCATCTAAACCCACCCCAATTGAAATGTTTTTTAAGATTAAGGGGGATATTCAGGCTGTAAAGGCCTAAACCTGTCTGGCTTTTATAAAATGTCATTAGACCTGAGTGTTATTGAGTACCGGTAGGTGGAAAATACTCTAAGACTAATGGAAACTGCCAATCCACTGGCTCCTGGCTCATTTTGCCTCCCCTGTACACTTTTGAAAACTGATGGAATATGTTTTCTGAAGTGAAAGAAAGAAAAGCGATGCTTGTTTTCTTGATAAATGTACATGATTATGTAAAAATATACCGTAATTTCATCCAGTCACTTATTTTCAATCAATGTACAGTGCACATGTCAGGTGAAAATGACAAGCAAACCTTAATGACCTGCATAAATAGTCATCATGGTCAAACAATGTTGGTTGACTGGCCATTATTTTGAGTCCTGTACAGACTGCAGGATTACTGACATCTTTTAACAGTGACTAGAACTTACAGGAAATACAAGGTTCCTCTCATCCAGAATCTAAAGTGGGTATCAATCCAGTTGCTCATGGTTACTAGAGCTGGTACATATTGACAACACACTGGAGCTTCAAAGCCAAGAACTAGTGCACCCATTAATCTAAAACATTAAAAATGTTTCTGGTCATTTTTAGGTCCATAATAATATTATCATTATCTCAAGCAAATGAGACAAAAGAAAATGGAAATAAAAAAGAAACTAGTTTGAACAATTATTTTAAACAAAAGAAAAAGTTTGAATTAATGCTGTAAAGTGGACTACCACTATGATGAGTACAAACTAATGAAACATACATGAGAAAATACCAAACACTTGAGACAAAGAACATTATTTAAATGAAAAAATTAGTGCATTACAATACAGACTAAGTCCTTACCTAACAGTACGATTTTTTCCGAATAAAACACAAGAAAACACATCCAACCAAAAATACCATTAGTTGATCCCAACCAAACACCACCTTAGATTAAGCTTTTTTGCACTTAGGTGATTTTACGTGGCTACATGAAATTTAGGCAGAGTTAAACTCGAGATAGTGCCGGCCAGCTGTTTCTCTCATCATGATATTGCATCGTAAGGTCTTGTGGGTCTTTTTACAGGCATTCTCTTGAGTTCGAGTGTCATTGCCTGTTGTGACTTGTGCTTATGAAGTGTGTATATGGTAAGTATGTTAGGTTCCACTGGTTGGCAGTGTGACGGTACCTCAGTGGATGCCACTCTTAGGGTTGTTAAGATTATGCATTGCACTTGGCTGCAGTTCGTGGTTTCACCAGCCTCTCAAGCACCTCCCCGCCACGCTCATTTCTGTTGCTGAGTGTAACTAATACATGAATAGGTCACATACTTTCCACACCACAAGGCATATGAGCCTGATGGTATTTCTCTTCTATATACCAGAAATTTAGTCCTAACAATAATTGCCCAAAAGGCCACTACAAGATTTACAAATTACATGCCCTGGCCCTCGAAATAAGACTTACATCATATATATTCCCATTCCTAAACATGTTGCTGATAGTGTGAAAAGAACAAAGAAGCCAAGAGCAGCAGAACCTGAAAAATTAATAACAAAACAGATATGCAAGTTATTACAAGCACAAGACTTGTTGCCTGTTTTTTAATGAAATACTTATAATAAATAAATATATAAATAAACGATAATGATTTAGAAGAAGCACATCAACGTAGTGACTTTCGTCTACCATTTCTGGTCCAACTGGAATTTGAAAATGGTGGTTTTTGAGACGGGAAAACTAGGTCACCTGAAAATAAACCTCTTGGACCAAAGTTGAGAACCAACAAAAAACTTAACCCACATGTGATGTCAATGCCAAGATTTGAACCCGGGCCACCATGGTCGGATGCAAGCGCTCTTACCACTGCACCACCCTTGCTCAAACATAATTCACTTGACCACTGATAACTCTAACATTCAAGGGAAATAGAAAAAGGTTTGAGGTATTGATGATAAGGAAAGAAGGTTTTTTCACTGTACAGTGAATATTTAATCATGCAAATTGAATTATAGAGAAGTCAAGAGAAAAAGGAAAGATATTTGTAAATTACAGAGCAAAACATAATATCATAAAATAAAACAAAGCAAAGTATGCCATTTCCATTTCTTATACAAAAGGTTGGCATGGCACAGTTCCGGCGGGGGGAAGTACTTGGGTAAATTTTTGCTGGGTATGTGCCACTGACCTCTCGGTGCCCCTACCCCATTATAGTCTATTCTGTGGCCAATTATAGACCCCATCTTAGTCAACCCAGTCGGGTAAATGAGACCCCATACAGCAGCGCATCCTATTAGCCTCTCGTAAGGAAGTACCCCCCCCCGGGGGGGGCACAGTTTATTTTCAGAGGGGCTTTGATAGGACCCGAAAGAAGCAACATATGAAGTGGTTTATTGACACATTTAGTTTAATGTGAAAAATGTTAACAAATATGTTGCTACTTAAATAGATTCAACACTTTGGTCTGCAATGCTTGGTTTGTTTTGACTTGTCACATGCTTGGCAAACATGGCTCAAGTTATCAGAGGTAAATAAAGCGGAAACTGGTCTGCAGGATATGATGAAAACCCCAAATGAAGCTATTTGTTCACTTTGTACCAGGCCAAGGTAAAACTGAACTAGCATTTTAAAATCTTTTTTCCAAATAAATTTGTTTAAACATTCAGTGTTTTATTCAAAATTTAAAACTCGTAAGTACCCAACATCCTAAATTCAATAGATGAGCTTTTGTAAACGTTTTATTTTGCCCGTTTGCGACGAGGCGAAAAAATTGAAACAAGCTCCTAGTTTTACTTTTCATACTAGGTAAAATTCGAACAAGAACGTCAATTTCCTTAAACGAAGAAAGGGCAACGGTGTAAAATATTTAAAGCGAATATAATGTCAGACTGTTTACAAGGGAGATCCTTCAGATTTCTGTCGGGTATTCATTTACAAATACCGGCTTTCCGGGTGTCAAAAATATTACGGACCCGTAGTTTGTGAGACAAAAATCAGTTAGTTCCAGTTTTATCCTAATATCCAGATCATTAAATTATAAAAAGCGGGGGAAAGCAGGAACTCTAGTGAGAACTCTAGTGAGAATAACGAATTCTGATTTTTGGATTGAAAACAAAGTTGAAATGATCAAAAATGGTCAGAGAACAACACTCACATAATCCCGACACAGCGCCCCAGAATCGCACTAAAATCCTCATTCCTTTGGGGATACCACCATTGTTTGCCGCATCTGCCATTGTTCAAACAGAAAATTCAATTCAGTCGAGAAATAAAATCAATTCACATACTACAAGGCTTCAATTCAGCTGATTTCCATAACAGAACTTGGGATGCGTGAAAGATGACTGCGTGTCTACTGCACGGGAAGCAGAGTCGGGCAGTTTTCGGCATCGCCGATCTCTATCCGACGTTACATCGTAAAAACTTCGGAACCTGTTGCGACAGCTGCCAAATATGGTTATGAACCTTTCAATGAGATGCGCTATTTTGGTTCACATTTTGTTAGTTTTGCGCATGAACGTAAATTGGTCACGTATTCTACTTCATGAGTTTGCAAAAACCTAGAGATGCATGAATAACAGCTCAAGATGAGGGAATACTTGAAGTCTTTGAGATCTGTCCCTCTGATTTGTGTAAAAATTACTAGCTCATCAGGTAAAGAAAGCAGTCTAACGGTTTGTTTAAAAGAGACGGTCAAGTCATTGAAGGATAAAGCTCTTGGTGGCGAATGTTCGAAGGAATCTCCCTTCTACAAACTTATTCTTGCCAAATCAAATCGTGAACTTACCGACGAGAAGACACTAGAAGAGGAAAATGTTCAAGAAAATGGTAAGTTTCATGGTTGACTCTGATGTTTAGGAATCACCTCCTATTTGACGTTGTTTTTTTTTCTTTCCCAGACGAATTGATCTTGTTCAAGAAACGTCAAAGCACAACTGCAGATATAGCCGAAAAGGTAAGCTTAGCTATGTGATGTTACAGGTCATTTCGTTTGTTAGCAAGTGAGGTTTATTTTTTTTATTTATACCGCATTATGCAATCAGTGCTAAATGTCGTGATAACATAACAGGGAATTGGTTTAAAAGCACATCACATGTTGATTACATTAATTGATTTGTGTAATTTGGCAGCTTATTGGCTCAGTTGTTCTAGTGTATGTAACACAATAGTCGTATATCCTCGTTTAGCTTTTGTTGTTAGAAAATGGTCTGAAAACGATATCAGAGCGTAACTTGTGAGACATTAATAATTATTGTATCATTATGGTGAGAAAAAGATTAACAACAACACAGTGAATGCAAAAACAGATTTTGTGTTTTGTTTGCAAGTAGCCGTCATGATTGTATGACCAGGTCAGTGTCAGTCTCATTTGTTGGCAAGGAATGAGGAATTTTTATAGATTTTGTTAATAACTGGCGGCCATCAAATAACTTCATGTACAATTTTATGCCCATTTGCAAGTTATAATTCAAAAATAATTTTTGGCTGAAAATTTCTGTACAGTAGGGTTATATGTAAGCTTGTGCTTAATGATATTCTTATGTCCTTTTTTACATTGTAAAGCGCTTAGAACAGCGATGTATAAACGCTATATAAATTCCATTATTATTATTATTATTATTATTATTATTATTTAGTCAATGACATGAAAATGGATGTTTTAAGTTTTTGTGATTACTGTGCATGCGCCAGTGTTCACTATTGCCATCGAGTTAGTTTTCCAAAAGTAAGTAAGTAACAATAGGATATACTTTGGAGTCCCACAGGCCCCTCGCCTGGATCTGCCGCTGGTGCCAATGTGTTGATCATTCTTCATCATGCGACAAAGTTGCATGCTTTAATGGCAAAGGTTAAAAATGCATTACGAATAATTATTGAGAAATGTTGCGAAGCATTTTAAAGCATTCAAATGTGATAAAAGTGCATTTTCTCTTCAATAGTAGTCACACACTCTTCTTGTGCACCTATTTTTGACATTTTGTTCTTTAATCTTACATCAGACATTGTAAAAGGGCCTCAGCTATATGACTCCTTACTGTACGTTAAAAAAACTACATACTCAATTTTTATCACTGTTTCAGTTATAAATTTAATCCTCTAACTTGAAATCACGCAGGAATGTAAAAGTAACAGTTCCCAAGTGCCTGATCTCAAAATGGTAAAGAAACTCACTGCAAAACTTGATGGAGGGAAGGTCAAGGACCAGTTTGCAAGCTTATCCCCTCCTACTTTAGATGTAAGTAGGATTAATAATATTAAACCTGTCAATGTACTGTATTCTTGGACAAGCACCTTTGTTCTGTGCCGTCCCTATCGAGGGTAATGCTTTAATGGACTAGTTAGCAGCGTGTGGAGAAGTACAGTTGAGCCTCCATGTGCGACCACCTATCCAAAACAGTGAAATTTTCCCAGTGAAATCACTTTAGTTGAAACCTTCCTTAAGCGACCGTGACCACTTGGATGATGGCTTTTGCATTTTACACTGTTTTTATCCTCCTGTAAGCAACTACCTAAGACATGGTTTAATCATTGTGTTTGTTGTACATTGTATGTACTACACTACTAAGAAAATACCAAGACATAAAACTTTTAGTGGCAGCTTAAAGGGAACGTTTCACGGTTTAGTGCATGCTCATGAATCAAAATGCTGTTTTCCTGCCAGGACATGCTGTATCGTTTATACAAGCGATATGATAATGTCATAATGTTGTCAAAGAACCAATCTGCACACTCCCCTGGCAGTCACTTGATCAACTTATGTGCAAATAGCTGTAAATTCATCAACAATAGAATAGAACCTTTGGGTCAACAATAAATTCAACGTTGGTAGTGTTGGCATGATGCACTAATTTTTTCTGCAATTTTAGTACTCCTCCATCCTACTTCAGGTTACTCTGAAATACACTTCTACTTTGAAATACACTCTGATATCGCTGAGATACATGTGAGTGGGGTTATTAACTGATAGAATTAATTAAACTGGAAAAAAGTAATTTAATTAATGAGCATGCACTGAAATGTGAACCTGTCCCTTTAAAATTACACACGTCGTAACTTAGAGATTGTATGCATTGTATTCTCTTCCAAAATGTACATTGTTCTGACCTGTTCTAGAGAGGGCCCTAGTGTGGTTTGATTACTGTAAGCGACCAACAAAATCCTCACATTTTGGGTGGTTGCTGGAGGATTCAGTGCACTTGCAATATATCTAGTGCTCAGCGGGGTGTGTGTGTGTGTGTGTGTCTGTGTTGGGGGGGGGTTTGATGGGGATGATCAAAGGATTTTGGGGGTTTGAAAGTCGATTTTTGGCTGTTACGTTTTTGGGGGCTTTTGTTTGAGTAGGGATTTTATGTGATTTTATGAGGTAATCAAAACTATCTTAGGACTGGTGGTCGTGCCTCCTGGCATAGTAGTTCTCAGAGTAAAGTACAAGCAAATTTGTTTTTAAAAACTATATTTTCGTGTTATATCATTTACTGCTTTCTGAAAATTTTTACGGCTAGCACATTCAGCTTGGGATATTTGGGGGGTTAATTTTTGGTCCAGGGATCTTTTGGGTTTTGATTTTTGCCCTCATTCGATCATCGCTGTCACTTAAAATCCAGAGTACCTCCCCCCCCCTCCCGGGATCTAGTGTGCTCATCTTATACATCAGTCAATTCCAACTGCACTCATGGAGCTGGCATTGAAGAGACCTGGCCCTGGTCGTTCAAACAGCGGATAACTCTATCCATGAGATAAACCACCATCCATTGAATAAGTATCAGGAAAAATGACTGTGCTTTCAACTGGACAGAGATTTACATGTATCCAGTGGATATCATAATCCACTTTTTGGACCAACTGAGGTCCAGATGGGACAAAGCTATTTTATTGTTTGATATATCTAAGCATTGTCTTATTAATTGAGACAAAGTTAAGGAGATGGTCATTGCAAATTGAACCTTGGTTCATTTCTGTCTTTTGGGTAATTTTGCAAACCTCAAGCTATATGGTTACAAAATAGCACCTTACTTTTTCTTTCCACTTTTAGTTCAATTCTGAACTCAGAAGAATTCTCATCTCCCTTATTGATTCTTCCATCCTGCTTCAATCTGTGAATGAAGACAAGGAAACTGCTGGTAGTTCAGGTACAGATTCAAAAGGGTTATGTGCATTGTTAAAATTACTGTATGTTTGGAAATAACGTAGTTTATAGAAGCCCAACAAGACATCTGCGTGTACAGGGTTTGCAAATTTTATTGATGGGTGAAGTCAATGTGACTTCTGCTTCACAAACTTTGGAGTCATTTTGGAATATTTTGAGGACTTGTGTAACACAACGAAAAAAAAAACAATGTAATATTGCTTAAACAAGAGTTAAAAAAAATTATTTGACAGCTTTGGATAACCTTTTTGATGAGGATGCCATTTCAGCGGATGGTTCTGGCACTATATATCATTATGGAAACATGAGGTAACTTTGGCCTCATAATTATGAAGAGTTGGCTGACCTCGAAATGCTCAAATCCATGATGATGATCATGAATCAATTGATCGTTATTGTAATTTAGACTCTACGTGTTTAAACATTAATAATTCTTCAATTAAGGTGGTTTAAATCAGGTTTACAACATTTGCAGTTAATGCAGTAAATTCTACTTTAGTGCTAATATTCTTGTTTTTAAGGGTACAGCTGTATGTAAGAACTTTTAACACATACTGTCTTTTTAGGTCAGGAGGAAGATTTGCAACCAAATGTTGACCCTGTAAGTGTACTGTAATTTACAATGATGGGAAGACGATAATCACAAAAAATGCTTATAACACCAGTGTCATTACTAATGGCCCTAATTTGTAAAACTTACATGTACACAGTCCAACCCAGAGGAAATCTAACCACCTGTAAGCTGTATACAAAGTCTTCTATACACCTGTAAGCTGTATACAAAGTCTTCTATACATGTACTGTGTTATGGGATGATTATTTTAAATTGCTGGCCTCATAATTGCTGGTGGTCTCCTGGGCTTTTGGTTGTAACAGGGATGTGTCAAGTCATGTTTATAATGTTATGGCCAAAATTTAACTCAGGTTAAACCGTTTTGACTTAAATTGATTCACAATTTCCTTTGTTCCCTATCCCTATAATTGTTGATGAGTTAGAGTTAGGAGACAAGGCAAACTGAGAATCAACCTAAGTTGAGAAATAATTTTTCACCTAAATTTCATTTTGCCATTTAAACATAATGCAAATGTATGTTGTTCAAATTTTTTCACCTCGCTTCAAATTTTACTTTCTGCTGTTTTGAAGTGCAGTAATGAATGTTTAAGTGAAAAAAGTAAAATGTGATCCAAGGATTATTTACACCACAACATAATAGCATAATCAAGATGTATATCCTTGTTAATTATAAAATATGCATTTTTTTGTTCCAGACCATCCTTAAACAGCTAACAGACATGGGTTTCAAAGAAACCAGAGCCAAGAAAGCCTTGTTTTTAAACAGGTGCTGTATTGTAGGGTACAGTCTAGTTGGAAAGGTTTTAACGAATTTACAATGATTACTCAGGGATTTTGTTACGGAACTGCTATGGTACTGTAAGTCCTGGAACACATCTCGCGGAAAATCATGTGTCCAATTCAAGGTAGAATCAGTGAGTCCCAGTCCAAACACCAATGTTTGCATGGAAAAGCTTATGTTTGTTTCTTCAGAATTTACTTCTGGAGCTCTTTTGTAGCAGATTATGTTACTGTCTGGGCTTCAGGTAGATCTCATCACAAACAAGTCACAAACAGTTTATTCTTTAACATCACCTTCAGACCACTAAATTGATTTTTCCATCCTACAGGAAGTGTCTTTTAATAATATTGTGCACCTAAAGGCATTTTTATGTATCAAAGATGCAGACGTAGTGTACACAACAAAATCACTGAATACTTTTCATGATTGGTTTTCTATGAATTTTTCTTGTTCAGAATCACCAAAAAAATGTATGTGTTGTTGTTATTTGTAGAAAAAAGACATTTTTGTACTCTATGTTGAAATATTTTAAACCTAAAAAAATGAAAACAAAAGAGAGAAATGAAATTAATAATTTTTCAATGTAAATGCCATTTTGATTTAGTGAGTTACTTGGTAAAAGTTAGAAATGCAACTTGGGCATCATAATCTGCATTATTAAGTTAGCATGTTAAAGGAACTGTTAGATTGCTGAGTTTTGAGCAAACCAGTGTTTGCTGTGGAAAAGAAGTTTTTGCACACATTAATTCTGTGGTTAAACTATATTTTTATGTTTTTTGTTTGATTATTTGATATACGTTTTTTTGGCTGTTTTATCTTTAATGTGGTAGGTTTTCATAACGTTAACAGCAATTAGAACATCTCTAAAGCCTCATATAACTAATGTTTAATGGGGCTTTGTTATGCTTTTTGCTGTCTCTTTAAAAAGCTTGAACGTTTTCCACATCAATTGAATTCCAAACATAATGGTCCAGTTTCGTTACTGAAACTGTTTCCTGTTGTCTGTTGCAATGGATGGCATTTGAATGGACATGGATTGAAACTTCAAAAGTGGGGCAACTTTTCTCAAATTGATAGGGCTAGTGTTCCCTTCTGAAATTTGTTTTATATCTTCTTCATAACTGTACAGGAGCATTTTGTGTACGAGTAAAGGCACCTAAGTATTAACTTTTGCCTAGAAGAATTGACTAAAAACATTAATATCCTCATTGGTAGCTGTAGAGATTGTTTTACAGAATTTGCGTAGTAGGTGCATATGTACATTGGAAGTCTAAATTTAGTGCAAGCACATGTAATAGATAGGAATCAATGATCCATCAAGAAAACAGCTATAGTGAGTCCTTGGACTTACACAGCTATAAAACCTAAGACCATGAGCTCCAGAACCAATTGATTGAGCCTGTGATGGTAGCATGGTGGCTTTTTGATAAGTGCGTCATGTAAAGAAAAACAATTTAATTTGGGGGTTGTTTCGTGGTGTTGTGGTCGGGTACGATCACCAAATGGCTCAATACAAAAAAAGCAATACCCATGACACAACACAAAAAAGAATCAACAATGGTTTCCACAACACCAAAAAACACCTAATGATTGGGATGAAAGAAGAATACATATGATGGATCCTGTTCATGATGGAGAGAGAAGAAGTTTGTGTGTCCGAAGGGATGGATAAGAGGCATGATTTTTGCATTAGGAAATTTATGTGTCTAAGATCTGGGACACACAGCTGGATGAATCAGTGAGAATAGTACATGTCTTTATGCATTGAACCTTGCTTTACTTACAGAATGTCTCCTTTGTCGGCTATGGAGTGGCTCTTGCAACATGAAAGTGATGCCGACATTGATGAACCTTTAGTGATTGGAGCTAGGACCAGTAGAACTCGCAGAAAAAGAAAAGAGTTTGTTCCAAGCCCTCGGGTTGGTTTTCGTACATTTTACTTAATAATTCAGGAAGGACTATTTATGACAATATATTTTAAAACAGTTGCTTGTTTTGGTGGCAGATTAAAAGAACTTTTAAAGTCTGTAGAAATTTAAGATTGTAACAATCATGTGTATACCCTGGATACCAGAGGATTTTTATAAAGGTCATGAGAAAGACTTCATCGAAGCTACTGTAGAAACTGTGCATAAGAAACAAAATTATAGAAAAAAATGATAATGAAATGGCAGAAATGAAACAAACAAACAAGGTATTACACTACTTGTAAAGTCTTTTTCTCAAAAAAAAATTTGCTAGGATTGTTAATTGTCTGATCATTCTAGGCTTTGCTGTAGTTACATGTACTGTTTTTAGCTTGTCGTCTTTTCTGCTCACTTTCCCTGGCTTGACAAAGGTATTTTGTAACAATAACATTGTGCTGGGTTCTCTTAATTTGCATAAATTATTATTGTTTTTTTGTTCCAGGCTGTAAATAACTTAAAAGAAATGGGATTTCAAGAGGAAGAAATCATCATGGCACTTAAAGCAACTGGGAATAACCAGGAAGCAGCTGTGAGTCTTAAACATGCTGCTACATGTATACCAGGAGTTTGCTATTACTTATGATTATCATAGTTATGGAGTTGTGCCCATTCCCCCAGGTAATTTCCATTCCTCCACCCATCCCACACCTATGGTTGTTTTATGTCCTCTCCCCAGATTACTCTTACCACTAAATACAAGAGGAAAGCTTGAATGTTGAGTGATTACCAGCACAAAAAGTAGAGGAACTGTTTACTGCCTATAGCTTTAGAATATAACCTGTGGACAATCAGTGGGCCCAGTAGTTTAGTAAACTTACCATTAAAAAGATAACATAAAGCAATGAAAGAGTATTGGTTTGCGACCAAAATTTGCAGTGAGATTAATTTCTAAACTCACTGATTACATTCATGTTTGTGTGGTAGTGTGATTGGTTGTTAGGGGACAGACAAGGTGGCATGGAAGACATCAATCAAGGCTTAGAGCAGTCAAGGTACATGGCTAACAACTTCTTTTTTTTGTGAAGCTGGAACTTCTCTTTTAGCAGATTACCTTAAATGATATGATTGACACCTGCCTCTTGTCTATCTAATGCTCCATCAACAATGTTAAGTTTGTATTAGACACCCCTTTCTAATTAATGCCCCCTGTCTAATAGACACTCCCCGTGAAAGTTACTCTAAAATACAAGGAATTACCGGTAGCATAAAAGAGCAAAATCACTCAATTTATTGATCCTGAAATTATGAGGATTCTGACTTTGAAGTTGAGATTTGAAAGAGCGATGGGGATCTCTAGTTGACCTAGACGCATCAATAATATTGATAGACTGGATATTTCGCTATTTAACATTTTTACCGATAGCCTATTTGTTGTGTACAGATTGTTACAAAAATGAAAATAAATACCTTTTATCTTTTACATGCCCCTTCTTAGACCCCTAATAATAATAATAATAATAATAATAATAATAATAATAATAATAATAATAGTAAAATGCCCCGGGCATCAATCTGATTATATGCTGTATTATAAATTGGAATGGGAATCTTGAAATGTCAGTGTCTGTTTAAGTTCAGCTATTCTAGAGTTTGTAAAACAGAAAACTTTGCAGCTCATGTCATTGGAGGCATTCCTTATATTCTCAAAATACATTATTGTAATGTTGTAGATCGACTCAGTTGTTTAACAAACAGGTTTGCTCTAATACTGGGTTGACTATGAATAAATAATGTATCTAACCTTGGATCTGGACTTTTTGTCCTTTGCACAAACAACTAACCTTTTATGACGAATTTCTTTGAATATTCATCACAGATTGATTCTTTGACGTTCTATATTTTTAGTCCATTGTACCAGGCAATCATGGAGAATCCTTTAGTACAACTCAGCCTTAATAATGCACGAGTACTCGGAGGTAAGTGACTATGCCAATTTTTTCAAACAGATATTTTGCATAGTTGGGGTGTGTTTGTAAACAGTAGTATTGTCATTTGATAATTGGGTTTTTTTCAGCTTACCGGTACATGTAAAGTCATGTCTGCCAACTTTCTCTTTACAAACTCTTGTATAACACGAACGCCCCCTAAAATGGACACCCTCTCTTAGTCATTATACTTTTGTGCTGGTACCTAGTCTTTTCACTCCATTGGATATCCTTGGAGACGCAGCTAATCGAAACAGAATGTTCACGGTCAAAATTATTGCAGGCAAAGTGGGTGAGCTTGGGGCACATACTGTTATCAAACCATTTCCTGAAGAATTTGAGCTGTATCTAGTTTACTGTAGGTAACCGGCTGCCTGTTTGCTCTTAGCTGTCTGAGGATGTCTTTAATGTGGACAGCTCCCCAAAATACACACCAGGTTTCCCATAGTCATGGGAAAACCTGGAAAGTCATGAAACTGAGAATCCCATTCCTCTAGGTTTGAAAAGTCAGGCAATTTTAGTGTCATGTTCTGTTGTTGTGATACAAAATCTTTAATGCTGGGTTTCACTATATGAGCCATGAAGTTACTTTTTTGAATTTGCCTTGGTGACTCAACACGATGACAGAAGATGAAACAGGACTAACGTCTCAATATTGTTATCAATCCCTTCATTACCCACCCAGCCCAAGTAAGGTTGTACCACACCACCAGGGTGTACGTCCCCTACTCTTTACGAACATGTCTGGGTTCTTTTATATCCCAGAAAAATCAGAACGGTGGAAGAGTTGTGTGATGGGGCCCATATTTTTTGTCCTTATCCGAGAAGACTAGAGTGTCTAACCATTTGTAGATGTCACAACAAAGGAAGCACATTCTCCTCAGTTATAATTTTAAGACCCTGAGTGTTGGTCCGTTATGGGTTTGAACCCGCGACCTCCTGCTCAGCAGAGCGGTGCTCAGTTATCCAATAGGCCACTTTCAATGTATAAAAATTCAGCATGATTGCAAGTCTTAGTGGACACAAACAAAGAAACGGAATAAGCATGAATAATCATAGTTTATTCATTTCATGCCATATTAAAAGTTGAAAAATCCCCCTGGATCTGCTTTTGTGTGGTTTGTGCGTATTATGATCATTGTGTCTTTGCAGCATTTGAGGACATGCTGGATAACCCTTCCTCGAGTTCATTCTACATAAACGACCCAGAAACTGGACCTGTGTTACTTCAAGTCTCGCGAATAGTGCAGGGATTTGCCAGATGATAGCTGATGTTGGCACTAACTGATAACTGTACATACCTCGCTTAAAGCTCAGAGCTTGGGATTTCATGAATCATCACTCTTGATGCTCATACCCCTTGCAGTCAAGAAATGTCAGAGTACTATCAAGACTAGTTATAGCTACTTCATGTTGTATTCATTTTTTTTGCTGGTTAGCAAAAGTTGCAAGGCAGCATGCTGTGGCTGATTTTAAAAGGTTAGCTGACTAGCTTGAGACCTCAAATAAAACCCTGAGCGTTTTGTTTAGGGTACACCATGATTCATGGAGGAGATAAATTGCCTTCCAATTTATGGTATACAGTGTATCTTCTGTCTAATAAGATTATCGTTTGCCTAGAGAAGTGCCAAGTTTGCAGCAAAAACACTGTGTAAATAGCAAAGCAAATAGTCTCAGAACCACAGTTTATTTTGAGTTTTTTATTTCTCTTCTTTTTTTCCAAAAAAAAAAAAAAGAAGAAATGCTTTCAAAGTGAAAGGTGCTCAGTTCCTATAACATTCAGGTAGACGTGATGACAGGTAAATAATGTGAAAGTGTTGCAACATTTCCTCACTGTCTCAACTTTTAGCCAGTCAAAGTGAAAGTAAATTATGTTTTATAACGTAAAACATTGTGCTGATATTCACCTTGAGTAAGTCACTGTATTTGAGAACTTTGTTTTGTGACCTCATTAGCCTGCGAGCAAGTTGTCCATTTGATATCTCGCATGATTCCTCGCGACTCTTCCAAGTGGAGAACTTGTTCCCAGACGTGCGGGTGTTGGGTGCCACATACTTGCTGAACCAAAGACTTTCTCAAAGCCCGTTTCCGGTTGTCGGCGCTCACGCAGTCGATTTGTGGCAAGTCTGGCTGAACCCTTACCCTATTTGAGAAGAAGGTCCAAGTGTTACCCTATTTTGAACAAATCTAATTTTTGCATGGGTCCCTCGCAAAAAATTGTGTGGTTTTCTTTCCGTCTACGCCCATCCGGAAATAGTCCACTCCAGGCCCCGGTTGTTCAAATGTTGGATAGCGCTATCCATCAGATAAATCACTTTCCAGCGGATAATTATGTGGGAAAACAATCGCACTATCCACTGGAGATTTATCCACCGGATAGGGCTATCCACCTTTAGAACAACTGGGGCCACGTAGAGCCGGTTAGAGAAACTATTTCCCAGACCTCTCTCGGGCACGTGTATTGTTGGCGCGCAATCGATCGAGTAGCTTTCCGAGAAATTGAGAGCCACGAAATTGATTTCTTCGAACCGCAAGATCGTCATTCGTATTTCGTTTGCACCTTACCTCGATCGAAAAAGCTTTCAGGTGAGTATTTGAGCTTTATTTTTAGTGGTTTAACTAGTATCTTCTGTTAAGAATCACGAATCAGTCACCGTCGTGCTTGTGTGGGTTGATTCGACTCATTTGCCTTTAATCTAAATCGCGTCAATTTGTGTAAATGGCTATGCAGGATGTGGACCAGTTAACATGGTTAATCCTTAAAAAATGATAAACTAAAATTAGAAAGCCTTGTACAAACCAGAAAGCGCTCTCTCGAAAAGATTCATGATGTCCATTGGAAACTCGTTCCACGTGGTATTAATCCTTGGAGCTCGAGTTACAGAAGAAGATGATTTTTATGTGGATGCCAAGTTAGTTTATTTAGAGGGTTTTTATCGAGTTTTGGATCAACAGGAAATCTGCATCCCAACAGAGAAGCTAATATATAAGCTTTATATAGACAAGAACCGTCCGTGGCGTAAAGACTGTCAGATGTACAGCTGAGATGTAAAATAATGTAAGACTCGTGACCGATGATAAAAACCCTAGCTTTAGCGCTTTCAGCAATGAGCAATGGATTTGGTGAATTAAAATAAGATGCTAAAACGTTTCAAATATTTCAGCTTACTCGTAATCTAATTGCTATTCCTCTGATTTCCCATATTGCAATAATGGGAGAGTTGAAATACACTACTGATCGGCCGGGGGAGGGGTGCCCTCTAAATGAAGGGGTGTTATTTGTCTCACTATTTCCTTTGTCCAACCAGAATTTAAAATTTTCCCTTCCTTATTCCTAGCGTGACCGAAAATTCGATGCCTCAGTTTAGACTGATGCATGAGCATGATAGCCCAGCTTCTCCCAAACGTCTTGTATTAGTGTCAACACTTGAGAAATTAAAGCCTTATCCGTGAGTACAAGAGAAGAGTAAAAGCATAATACTTTGTGTTATCTAAAAACCATAGCCAATTCCAGATCAAAACCATAATCTGGTCGTTTCAACAATCTGTATCCGATCTCAGACCAAAACAGCTCGGGCAAACTCCAGGTATTTGACCATCACTTGCGCCAGGGGGATAGGGAATATGAGCTGCCAACGTCAAGTTTTATAACTTCTTTGGAGGATCCGGGTCTGACAACGTGGTTTAATATATGCGTTCCTTCTCTGAGTGAGATGGGGGAGTGTAAAAGTGAAGAAACAGCTTGTTCAGAAGCTACATATGTGCGTTTTTGAAGGTACAATGTATGTAAACGAGATCGAGCAGTGGCGGATCCAGGAGAGGGGCCCGGGCCCCCGCCCCCCCTTTCATCTAAGGGTCTCGATGACCGGGCTCCCCCTCCCTTATCTCAGGATCTGGATCTGGCACTGTCGAGTGCGTAGTTTTTGTGGTTCAATTGCCGATCAACATCTTGTAAAGCCCGAAAAATTCACGAAACTCTATTTTTCGAATTCCCAATCTGCCAAACATCTCTTCTTTGAAAAGGCATTAAACCACTACTTTGGGCTAATGTGGCTAATGTGTTAGGAATTTGAACAGACTCCCCGGGGGAATGTTGGAAGTTTTGAATGATCGGCGATTATTCTTTTGCCTTGTGATCATTTTCCCTATATTTTAGCGTTTTCTATATAATTCACACATTCTTTCTCAGTCTGCATGTATTTTTCGTGTTGCGCTTAACACTTTGTAAAGAAGTAGAAAACTTACGTTTTTGAATATTCAATCGGAGAGTGCTTTTTAATCCAATTCTTGGCTTTCAAGTGCACTTGTTCAGTTCCGGTTTCACTTTCTATTTATCGCCTCAAAGCTCCGACCGCATAAAGTTTATCATGCCCGGTAAATTTTATTGCAGTTTGTGATTCGACCAACGCATGGCTGGCATTAATTATTGAATGTACCGCGCAATGTGCGTGTTTGGAGCAAAATAAAATTGACTTTCTATATGCTGATGTTGGAAAGGAGTTTAAAATGCACTGATGACTTCTTATTATAAAGAATTTCACCATTTAAGTTCAAGAGTTGTCGACCGTGTACCCCTGCACCATGCTGCTCGTGCCACAGTAAGTGGGATTCCTATAAAAGCCAAGCTCTTTTGAGAACACACCTGTCGAGAAGGGATTGAGCTGAAACCCCAGGTGAAAATATTTTATATCTGTGATGGTAGCACAAACGCATCGGCTGTGTTTTGCCTCGAGAAGAGTCAGTACATGTAAATTAAGTTCTGGTTAATGTGAAAACACCCTCTTACAAAGAGATGAACAGGCTTTACTCAGTGCAGAATGTTTACACTATCCTTATTCCCTTTGCATAGTGAAGTTAAAGCTGCGCTCTTAAAGCTGTCATTACAGTAGTACATTTAACGCATTTGTATCGTTACTGATCAGACAGGAACAAGAAATGCGATATGTTGACCGTCATCGTTCAGTATCTGGTTGGACCTTGCAGAGCCTGTTTTGTTCCCACGCTTCTTCTAAAATAGTCCGAATAAAACAAAGGAAAGAAAACGAAAGCGGAATTTTTAATTGTATAATCAAACTAGTCAGTGGTGATTGGCTAAACCTGTTCTTCAGTGTTGTAAACACATCTTAATGGAAAGGGTGTTTTAAATGTCAGCTTTTTAATGTATTTATTGCGGAAAATGCACTTTTTCAACTCACTCTTTCTACAAACAATTGGATTTGCAATGATAGGGTGCTTGAGCCTGGTCGCCATCTTCCAAGCAAGTGCAGAAAGATCCCCTGAGTGGCATAACTACTTTCATGGCAAATAATTTTTCAAACTTTTCATTTCAAATTTTTAATTCCGAAACAATACCTCGAGTTCCGCGTGAAACCGCATGTCTCGGGTGTTTTTTTTCTCAGAAATCACGTGATTACGCTTAATGGTACTCTGTAACGCCTGTGACGCCGCATGCCTCATTGCGTTACTTCTGTTTTTGTGTGTGTGTGTGTGTGTGTGTGTGTAGCAAAAAGTTAAAAATTGTCTCATGCAGGGTACTTAGTGCAACAATGTATCACTCGCTGTCACTGTTTAATATTAGAGGTTTATTTTTGTTTAGTTAATATATAATTTTTAACTCCCAGTTTAAACTAACCTTGCCCCCAGATCCCACTCCTCCTTGTTTATGTTAATATTTACTTCAAATGAACTTGAGCGCACTTTTGCAGTCCGGTCAATTTCCGAGAAATCAATTATAAAGGGAATTAATTTCTTCGAAACACAATATTGGTGCCACATTTCATTTCGGTCTTGCACTTTTGTCGCCAAAACTATCAGGTAAGTTTTTAGCTTTAGTTGCAGTCAGTTTACTTCAGTTTACGTTGAATATCTGTAGGGGATCACCCAACTCCCCAGCTAAGTGATCGGACTTGCGCGCGGTTATCTTACTTTATCGATAACTAAGTTGTTGAAACATTGAGTACACGTATTGCGGTCCCCCTTTCCTTTTCCACAGTTGGCTTCAGTTGGGGCTTGCCTGGGCCTAAACGTCTTTTAAAACAACATTGAAGGGGAAGGGGTGAAATGTAGATTGTCAGATGGGTACGGACGGTAAATTTCATCCCACTGTAGAGAGAAAGTAGGAGAAGGTTTGCGCTTGTTCATCGTGTTAGATCGCAGTTGATCTACGCCTCAATGAGTGAATTGACTACTTGATGAGACAGACGGTTATGAAAGCTCCCTTTATTATTTTTTAAAGAAAAAAACGAATACATAAACTTCAAACAAGGTTTGTAAAAGTTTACTGTCTTTAATCGCTGTCGAGGTTTACAAGTATTACAATTGTTTTAGTACTGCACATGACGCTTCCGATGTCGCTCTTGTTCTCCCCATAAAAGGTGATACCCCTTTCGTTTTTCTCATACACTGTCAACACTGATAATTTTCAGCGGCCAATAGTCGGTTAAGTAATAAGAAGTAGTGATTCTGGGCTTTTGCAGTCTGCGTTTTGCGATGTACATCATCTATTCAGTTCCGGTTTCACTTTGAAATGAACGCGTCATAGCTCCGCGAAAAACTCAAGCTCCCAATATTCAGTCAATATATCTTCATTGACCCTTGCTCGACCGGAAGTTGAGAAGTTTACAATGCCGTTACAATACTTTTTTCACTACGAAAATCACAGCAGCGACGATAGGACCTTGACCTAGGTGGTTTAGAGACTTCTTTCACAAGAGTGAACCTCAGATTTATGGAAATTCCAGGGGCACCCAACGAGGATATAGTTCAAAACCACTAAAGCATAGCATTGTTGAACGTACTTTAGTATTCAAACGGTAGATATAGGCATATTTCTATCCCCTAAAAACTTTTCATCTGTTCGGATTTCCTAGCTGAAAGTCTAGTGATCCGAAGATTATAGGGATAAAAACTTACCTTCTCGAAAATTTTAGCTAGGAAAAGGCTCCCGAAAATTCTAGGTGGCCTTTTTTAGGGTCAAAATCCGTTAAAAATGGGTAATTATACCATTTTGTAGATGTTCGAAAACCCTAGGAGAGGCAGGCAAGCAAGAAATTTTACAACAAATGCTCCGAAAATTCTAGATCTCAAATCGTCTTCCGAACAGATATTTTCCCGAAAATTGCTGTTGGGTGCCCCTGAAATTCTAATGTCGCGATTAAAGGACCCCTCGCCCAGAATCTAGCAGTGCAGGTTTTAAAATCAAATTATAGCCACTCCTGGTTGGGTAGATTAGTAGGAGCTTATTTAAGACCGTGCTTTGCTTTCAGATCATCGCCGTGGTTTCGGTATATAATGTTTAATCAGAACAGAAGTTTTTTCTTAGGTCATCCGCCAGTGTCTCGTCACAATCAGTAAGAGTGACGCTATTGGTGGAAATTGCGCAGGTTTTCAAGATTGTGGTGAACAGTTTTCCTTCTAAAATGTCGGATTCAAAGGGTGTGGTGGGTAGAGCGAGTCGTTTGACCTTTCTCACGAGCTGACACTGGTTCGTTTTTAATCCCTGATCTTGCTAATTGTATAAATGTTTCTAAAACGAGCGGTTTCTTCTAGAAATGAAATCAGTGTGATTTGTCCACTGTTGGGCTCTACGTTTTTTTAAAGCGATTGCGAGATTGATCTTGAGTGGGCTTTTTTGTCTGGTTGGTTTAGAGCTCATTTCTAAGAGTGGTGTGAAAAAACTCATCAAATACAACACTGCAGCATTGCCTCTTCCTTCAAATGTCTCTAGTAGTTCACGGTCTTAAAGAATACTTAGTCCAAGCGTAATTACAACCGAGTTTGACAAGAAGTGACGCATAAAAAGAGCAATTACCTTGCTATATCCAAACAAGTTCAAGCAAGAACGAGCGCGTTAAGAAATCTCCAACAGTTTTCTATTGTGTACTTGACAATTAGAAGGCAAGATCGAGATTTCGAATTTTTCGCGGATCAATCGATCCCTCTTTCAATTGTCATGGTGTCTATTCATAGTAACCAAAGAGCAGTCTTATTTTTCTTTTAAGTTTGTGCTCTATGTGACGCTCTAAGGACTAAGAATTAGGAAGGACTTGAAAGATATCGTTGCTGCCGCATTGGAATTTATCTAAAATCCGCGTAGCGAGGTAGCAACTCTAACCGCTAGAGTGGGTAAAAAATATCTTCATAATTAGGGGTTTTGTGCTTGAAGAGGAGAGGACGAGGCGCGTAACGATGGAGACTTCAATGAGAGGATAGGCCTATTGAAAACTTGAACCGCAAAAGTTGTTATTTTTAGAGTTTTATACAATGTTTCTAAACTTTTGCTCTCTCTTCAGAAATGGAGTTGGAATACTTCCCACCAGACCTACCTGCCTGTGCGCGGAAGGAAATTGGCGAAGGAGGATTGATGTATCAATTTAAAAAAGACGAGCATGCCCAACTGTTGTTGAAACACCTTGCGGTGATGCAAGCCAACCGAATATTGACAGACCTTACTGTACGAACCAAATCAAAAGATCATGAAGAAACGTTTCATTCCGTGCTTCTTGCCGCAAACAGCCCATTCATCAGACGTAGTCTTACAGGAAAACGTTTTGATTGCACCTCGGGAGTTATCCCACTTGACCTGACTCAACAGCAGCTTGAGGCCTTTCTCGATTTCGTGTATAAGTCCGAACTCCCCACAGACCAAGGAGTGGTCAATGGCTTGCGACATTTTGCGTCGAGGTACGAGATGACTTACCTTGAAGAGCTGTGTCAAGAAAGAGGATTGGAACGTGAAGGCCATGAAAGAATGACTGTTCTGTCTAAGCGCCAGGAAGATGTGTTGTCTCAACTGCATGACATGCGTGAGAAGAAGGAATTGACGACGACCTATTTGGAAGACTGCGACGGTAGCTTTCAGTTTGCAGTACACGGCCCACTTCTTGCAGCAGCGTCGCCAGTATTTCAAGACATATTTTCGGATGATCTGTTATCTCAAGAGGGCTCAAGGTATCGCCTGAAGGACGTCACGTGCAATACTCTAGGAGACCTTATAAATTTCATTTACACGGGGGAAGTCACATTGGAAGAAGAAAATGTGGTCGATTTACTTCATGCAGCATACGATTACGAGATTCCCACACTTGCCAGGGCCTGCTGTGATTGGCTGGAAGTGCAGTTAAGCTCTTACAATGCAATCGGCATTTGGTTGCTCGCGCGGGAACAGCAAAGTGAATACATCAGTGATCTTGAAGAGATCGCTAAGAGCTATATCATTGCCAACTTCACCAGCGTGTGCAGAGAAGATGAATTCCTAGAGCTTGAGTACGAAGACCTTGAGGAAATCATTCGAAATGACTATCTGGGTGTGCAGAACGAAGAAGAGGTGTTCGCTGCAGTTGTCAACTGGATAAAGGCAGACGAAGGTCGCTCATCTTTCTTTTGCGATTTACTGAATCGCGTTCGTCTGGAGTGCGCTAGCTCTGAATTTCTTTGTGACATGGAGAAAGATCCCCATGTCGCTAACTGCTCGCAGTGTCTACAAGTTGTTCAGAGGGCCCAAGCAAAGAAGATTCAAGCCTCCAACCGTACCCCAGAAGTTACTCGATTGCATTATGATGATGAAGCTGATTTCAAGAGAAACCTGCTGTATGAATTTCTAGAGTCAACACGAGTCAATGATGATCATCTTAACGAAACGACTGAGGAGACTCCACCTAGGGAACCAAGGAAGAGTAAAGAAAAAGATATGCGCCTGAAACAGAACAGACATGGACAGCTCAACAAAGATGGCTCACCTGATATGCGTTTTAAAGTTAACAGGAGGCACTTAAATCAGCGGAATTTGGATGGTACGCCAGACAGGCGTCATAAAGGCAACAAAGAATCCAACCGCTCAACGCAGAAAGATGCTTATGTTACTACCGAGGGTCCACTGACAAAAACTGGCAAACCGGACATGCGTTTCAAGGTAAACAAAGAAGCTTATGGCCAGTCATCTTCTCAGAAGAGCACGAGAACCCCGCACGGTGAAAGCAAGCGAAAGGGTGTTCCTCTTAAAAAGGATGGAACACCAGACATGAGGTACACTGTAAACAAGACACCAGAATCTGTGAACAGTGCTTTACCAGGCAACGGAGCAACTCCACTGAAACGAGATGGTACACCTGACATGCGCTTTGCGGTCAACAAGCCAGCGAGAAAACCTGCATCACCCGCACCATCGTACAGCAGTTCAAGTGGTCCACTTAAGAACGATGGCACACCAGATATGAGATACGCAGCAAACAAGTCATCCTATGATAGTCCATCGTCGTCAGGGTTTTGGTCTGGTGGTTCATCCTACGGCACTAGGTCATTGGCCAGTCTGGGATCTCCTGGTCCGCTAAAGAGCGACGGTACTCCAGACATGAGATATGCTGCAAACAGATCTTCATATTCGAGTCCATCCTCGTACAGTGGATCAAGCTACAGTGTCAGTTCGTCTTCAAGTGGAAGTAGTTTTGGAGCGGGTCCACTGAAAAGTGATGGCACTCCAGACATGAGGTATGCTGCAAACAGATCTTCATATTCGAGTCCATCCTCGTACAGTGGATCAAGCTACAGTGTCAGTTCGTCTTCAAGTGGAAGTAGTTTTGGAGCGGGTCCACTGAAAAGTGATGGCACTCCAGACATGAGGTATGCTTCAAACAGATCCTCCTATGGTAGTTCGTCCTCGTTTGGTGGATCAAGCTACAGCTCCATATCATCTTCTAGTGGAAGTAGTTTTGGTGGATCCAGTTCGTGTGGGCCACTGAAAAGTAATGGTACTCCTGACATGAGGTATGCTTCAAACAGGTCCTCTTATGGTGGGTCAAGCTACAGCTCCATATCATCTTCTAGTGGAAGTAGTTTTGGTGGATCCAGTTCGTGTGGGCCACTGAAAAGTAATGGTACTCCTGACATGAGGTATGCTTCAAACAGGTCCTCTTATGGTGGGTCAAGCTACAGCTCCAGATCATCTTCTAGATCATCTTCTAGGAAGTAGTTTTGGTGGATCCAGTTCGTGTGGGCCACTGAAAAGTAATGGTGCTCCTGACATGAGGTTCAAAGCCAATTGACGATAGTATGTCAGTAATTAAATTGACAGTACCAAACCCCTTGACTTCTTGGTACAAGTTGTAGAGAACGTTGTGTTAATTCCATTCGATCCCAGAATGGACATAAAGACTGTTACGTTTTGTTATTGTTTTTTTACTTACCAACTTTAAAATGTATTCTGTTAGGAAGGTACATTATTAATTTTCTCCTACGTGTAAGTTAAGGTTGTGCTGTATATTTTTTCAAACCATTTTTTAGCCTATAGAAAGAGTCATACTTGAGTTATGGAACTGAAACTGACATGGTGGCAAACGAACTGTCAGCTGAGTTCGATACGTAGTTCTGTTCTTAAGTTGCTGCTGCTGTTGTTATTTCGGGTCATCTTGTAAACGAGAACGTTTGGGTTGGTAAACATTATATATGCACGGATAGAACCCAGTAAACTAGTTTCTCGATATAATTTCTTCAGTATGGTAAAAAGTGTCTACTTTTGAAAGCGGTTTTCAAATCAAGTTTCTTCGGTATATAATTTCGTGATGATTGATTGATTAGAGAACCTAGGACCACTTTTTTGTCCAGTCAACTGAGTCAACCATTCGAGTCTAACCCGCAGGATATTTATCTCTCCTAGCGGCGGGTGTTTGGTTTTGCCTCGAGAGCTGATAAATCAGTTGTTAATACAGTGCTTCATGTGCATGGTTATCTCTAGGGTTTTATTTGGTTTAGTTTCTCGACGCTTACCTGAAAACAGCTGTATCACGCTTTAATGTTAGTCTTCTATTAACTGCAACAAAGATGGTCACATTTGTTATCCCAACTATGAATTTTGGTCATACCTTTTTATTTGTAAATTCAGTGCCCAGTTTATCTTCGTGTTAAAGTTTTTGGCGTCATCAAGTAATATTTCGGAAAACATATTTGTAAGCAAGGGTTGGTCTTGTTTAATTTGTGTGTAGAATTACGGTATTAGTGCAAGAATCCTCCATAAATGTCGCTTAACCCAGTAGCCCCCAATATCGACCTGCAAATTCTCCATACATTTCCTTTTCTTAAAAAAAAAAAGTCGGGAGAATTTGTTAAAAACCTTTAATGATCATTTTGTTAATTCTCTTACCGAACTTTTGTGTTATTTATGTATTTATATTGTTTGAAGAAAATTCATGTCGGTCACTTTTGGGACTTAAACTGGGTTAATAGTTATGGAGATGGTAGTGGATATGAATAATTTGAAATTATTTTTAAGCAAAATTGCTGACTGTCATTGTTGTTGTTATTGATGACCGTGTTATTCGACAGCTTCGCAGTTTGTAGTAACGTCCATAGGGTAACACGACTTGAAAATAAAACATGTTTATTTTTTTAATCCCAGACTGCTCTCAGGACAAACTACAAGTTTTCTATATATTGAAAAGTTACCAAGCATCACATGATCAACGTTTATTTGAGAAAGTGTCTTGAAATTCAAGCTTAAAACGCGAAAACGACTCAGAGTAATCGCTATTTTGAGTGATTATAGCCTCATGATTAAGAAACCGGGTGAGTGTCTTGTAAGTCAACCTGTACAGTTTGTTCTCGACTCTTTCAGGCATATTTCACAGTTTTTGTTATTGGTGGCAAACTATTTTCTCTCTCTCACCAAATGTTTCATTTATCATAGTTAAGGCTGAGGTTTACTCGCTAAAAGAAGATAATTCATAGTTATTGAGAATATTTCTGTATACGCAACAAAAATTTTCAAGTTGCGGGTATGATTTTTGTCTCAAGTGATAAAGTCACTCTTGTTGTCGAAGCTGCAGGCCTGTCTGTTAACCATGTTACCGCTGTACAAGCCATATCATTAACAAGGTATCCCAGCGTCACACGAGGCCCTGGTAGGTGGTTTCTCTCCGTTGCATTCTTTCTCTTCCACGGGTTCCTTTTCGTTGCCTTCTCCTTTCTTCACGCAAACCACTTCAATTTCTCGCTCGCCTTTACCACAGGTGACGGAACACTGCCATTAAACAAGAGAGAGGGTGTCAGTGTTAGGAAAGGTTTTCAACAGCGTTTTCCTCTAACAAACGAAAGAGACTCATTTAGTGGCTTATTTTAAAATCATATATGTTATTGTCGAGAAGTTTTGTCGAGACTTTAAGTGCGCGTTATTAATCTGGCGACTTTATTTTCTTCCACTTGGTCAGAAGTATTCTTTAGTTGATTTTGCGACAACCGATGGAAGATCGTGATACACAACGTCGTCACTAGGGTTTTTCCCATATAAAATGGGAGGGGCTAATCCTATTTTCTGAGGGAAAAGCCACAGTGACGAGGTTGCGTGATACTAAATTCTTGACTTGTACTTACTGAAGATGATTTCACAGTAACCCACTCAGCAGGGCAAGGATGATGTGCGCATGTCTCACGTCCTGCCGGTTTAGGTCCTTCACAGTGTAACTCCTCCACTTCAGTCTCTATACCATGCGACTCGTCAGTACAAATAACCTCCCGTGTCCTCTCTCCTGGATGACCGTCATTGCAGGTTTTAGAACAGTCTGTCCATTCACCGGTTTTCCACCTAAAAGTATCCACCACAATAAGTGGCCTTCCCCACCAGCTTCAGGAGCAATTGAAAAAAAAAAAACAATTTAATCAGAAGTATATATTCTTTTGGTAGATTTCAGCACCCACCTCGCTGGGCATTCATGAGTATTGCATATAACTGTCTCGTCCCTAGGCCTCTCTCCGCCACAGAAGTGGTCGCTGACCATAGATTCGTCGTCATTGCGGACACAGGTTCCTTTGATCAAAACGGTACCTACATGGGAAAGACAATATTGTGCACCAAAAATTTTATGCCCAATGGCTTAAACCGCATAAGAAGAGACCAAGGAAACGAATTTGCTCCGAGGCGTAAGGGAATAAAATAAAATGAAAGAATTATTGATCCTTGAACGTCCGTGAGGTCTCTTTTGTTTTGTTTCCAAAGCTTTGGGGTAATGTGTGAATAATATAATAATAATAATAATAATATTTAATACTTATATTGCGCTTTTTTCTATAAAAATACTCAAAAGCGCATTACAATATTATTAATGACTAAATTAAAAACCAGTAAAATTACCCGGTAAAATTACAATATTTAAAAATAAATAAATAAATAATCTAACTAAAAGCCTTCTTAAATAAATATGTTTTAACAGAGCGTTTAAAAGAGTCGATTGATGTTCCCTGTCTTATTGGCAGAGGAAGACTGTTCCATAAAAAGGGGGCAGCCATCGATCTCCCAAAGTCAGTGAAACTGGCTTATTCCTTGTTTAAAGGTTGGATAGCAATATCCACCGGAGAGGTCATTATCCAACAGGCAAGTATATCCAGCGGATAGAGCTTTAATCAGAGGATAGCTCTATCCATATCTCGAACAACTGAGGCGTCACAATATTAACTATCAGTTGAAACGCGGCACGAAAAGGTCGGTGCAACACAAGGCTCATGTTTACTGCGGTTTAAGAGGCATACCCCGCAGATATAACAGAGAGAAGTCTTTCTGTATGAGCTTTTACTTGCAACCTTGCAACACAATTTAGGGGGACATTTGCCTCAGCGTCTTGTCCCCGGAAACAGAAGCCCTCGTGTCAACCTCATCCCCAGGGCTTACCCTTGGAAATTAGGAGGAGAGCGTTTCAGCCAACCTTAAGTCCTTGAGGACCTCTCATTAGAGAATTGAATGGCGGGGTGACTGAACTGTTCACTTACCTCCCCCGCAGCTCTCAGAACAACCCAGTGAACGCCGAGTCCACTTGAAAGTGATGTGCTTATGTCCCAATCCGCGCACGAATCTTGTGTCCGCGACCTCTTCTGAGGGGTTGGGGACAAGGTAACGAATCCTGACTTGGTATTCTTCCTTCCACGACTGAACTAAATACTGCCGTAATAACATACAAACGTAAAGTTTAGTTTTAGTTATACGGTCAATCAACTTTTTTCAAGAAAATCACCTCTTTAGACGTACATCTTGGGGTTATAACTGAAGCTAAAAAAACACCCGATGGCAAAATAAAAGCCTTTAAAATCCTGCTGGATTGCAAATAGGACAAAACCTACTACTCCTACTGTTTTTCTAAATGTATATTTTAAATTTAACATCCATGCACTATAGACAATCTCTCGGACGGATGTTTGACGCATTTTTTTTCTCCTATCTTTATTTCTTCTCAACATACCATCAACTCCACATTCTCGGTCAGCGGCCCTTGAGCAGTAATCTTTTCTTTCTTCAAGGCATCACGAGTGTATTTGAATCTTGTTCCAGCACCCACGAAATTATAGGCTCGTGCCTTAATGCGGAAATCCATGTTGAGCAAGTCTTTTCCTCCTGCTGTCATCATTGCTGTTGGAGCAGCATAATATAACGACAATAATTATTATCCATCAGTAACTTGGTAAATAATGCTGGCCACCTCATCCGATCGCCTAACGTTTATTTCCTTTTGTTCATTTGTTATCTTATTCTAGCTTATGCATCTGCAGTTCTTCGAAATAAATGTGCTTGACGCCAGTCTCTACAAAGATTTAAAAAAAAACCTTGTGGAACTTCTTTAATTTTTTTTTTTTTCACAGCTGTGAAAAACATAGTACTTAACCTTTTTTGGAATTGCATTTTTCACTTTTTTGGGGGGATTCACCTATTTTCCTGAAATTTTATTTACTAATTCCTTTTTTTTTTCCAAAAAATTCGAAAAATTTGTGTTCTTTGAGGCCGTTTCTTACCGATCAGAATCAGTGAAAGTCCGAGCTACTATAACCGTGCTCGCTCGGTGTTCTGATTGGCTAGTTGGATCGTCTGGGCCCGTTCTGCTTAGTCGGAGTAAACAATTTCGTTTTTATTTTATATCAACCTAAGTATAATCTATCTTAGATTAATTAAAAATGCTACTAAACAATGTTACTCGGCATAATGTGTATGTGATGCAAACATTGGGATTATGCTTATGTTTTCTCACCCAAATAATTTTTGAAGCCACTCATTTCTTTGATTTGAATATTTCTTGCGCCAGCTGGGAGAAATCCAATAGGCTGGTAATGTCCTATATTAAAAGAACAAGAAAATGCTGAGAAATTCTGAGGAAATCAAAATGTTCGGCCTTATAGAAAGATAAGTAAATTCTTAACCTTTCATTGGTTTAGGGAAGCCTTTGTATGTAAACCTTTTCCCGATGCAGGATGTTCCATCGCCGTCGCACGCACCACAGCGATCGAATACTTTAGAAGATCCTAGAACTTTGTCGCATCCTAGGGTCTGGATCAGAAATAAAACGTAACAATAAAAAGAATTGATCAATTCTGGTTCTGATGAAAAGAACACATCCATCTTATTTAATTTAATTTTGTATGTGTTAGAAATACAATGTTCGCTCTTGCTAGGGCTAGCGTTCGAATGTCATCTTCTTCTCAAATGTTCCTTTTGAAGCTAACCTTTCAATTATGATGAAATACTTCTTTTGGGTGTGGGTGGCTTTCAATTCAGTCTACAAAGCAAAACACGCTCTTGATTTCCTCTTTTGGGAAAACCGCATTTCGTTCTAAATCTCGTCCAGCTTTAGGCCAATGAGGACTCACTATGCTGTTAGCGTTTCACAATGAATCAAACAGAGGTACAGTGAAAATAGCACTGGTTTTCCAACTCTCGCGTTTAGAATGATCTAGTTCTTTCTTTTCGCAAGTCACTTTGCGCAACACTGACTTCTGTAAAACGTTTACAATTCGGAGTCTGCGGAGACTTGACATCATATAGCGCCCATTACCCTTACCTGGCATTTGCCGTTTATACAAAGACCGCTGTTCTCATCGTAGTCATCACAGCGTGTTCCGTCATCCACATACCCGAATGAAAACTTGGCAAACTGGCGGATGCCCACCTCAGCTATACAATATAACTTACATTCCTGACCAGCTTTAATGTGATAAAAGTAGTAGAAACAAGATTATTGACTTGCTTTGACTTTCTAGCCTTCATCGAGTATGAAGACATGTTGAGTTTGCGGAAGATGTTAGGTTATTTTATGAGATTTCAAAATGACAAACTGAGACCATGCAAACAGGTTGTAACAGTTTAAGTTATATTTACCACTAAATGGAACATTTTTGGCTTTTTATAACTCACGACAAAATTCCTGTTTGTAACTATCGATAACTGTTGATCTTGACTACGCGTCCGCGTTTTTTTTTTATAAGGGGGGGAGGTGGGGGACGGGGAGAGGCTTTAAAGCTACCTAAATGCTTTTTCTACCAGTTTCATTATGACACATTTTTTTATTGGAATAGTTGTTGTGCCTTACCCCAAACGCCTCCCATACTCGTTGCCCTTAAATGTTTTAACATTTAAAAATACCTAATACAGGAAGCGCAGGGTTGTAACTCCATGGATACTTGTTACCATCGACGAATCGAACATGACGCTTTGCTTCACATTGGCTTTCTCTGGGAGTTGGTGTTCCGGCTGCACATTTCTAGATCAGCGAAATAAAATACAATTGAAATTTATTAGAATCTCCGCCATACTCATTGCAAGGTCGAGTGAGAAACAGACTAGCAAATTTCTCACGGCAAAAAGGGAGAAAAACAAAACAAAGAAGCAAGTTAATTGAAATTAGGCTGCTACATGCAAGGTTAAAAGGACTACTGTTAAGCGATCAAATCAGGATTCATTATTATTAAAAGTCAATGAAATGTATCCCATTGTCCGTCAGGTCCATTTTTGGTGTATGAGCACCGCTGCATAATAAATTCTTCCCGTCCAGCCCTCTGAGCTAATGATCAAGGCAAGTCTCGAAGGATTCAACTTCTGAAGCGAAAGAGAACCGCTAGTACCATTTAGCTCAGTTTTCCAGCGAAGAATGAATCATTTCTTTTAAACTAAGAATGTTTTTAAAATGTAGGCATTAAATACTTACAGAAGTGTGGCAGTACCGAAACTCTGCTGAATGGCCTTGACATAACTTTCCACCGTTTGCAGGCCTAAAATCAAAAGAGACTATTGAAGACACTGTTACTTGGGTGCTCTCATTGCAGACACTGTTGCAAGTACTCTCATCATGACGAAATAACCATAATTGTAGTGAATTTTGAACCTTTCACCGGCTGTAATTGCAGGAAAAACTTGAAAGCAAATGACACATGTACACCAACCCACGACCTGACCGGTATCTAGCACATGCGCGCGTCCATATCACCCGGGCAGTGGAAGCCACGGAAAGCTATTTCGCCTCGGGAGTAAAGGGCCTCTGAAAACAGCTTTAACAGGACAAAGGTCTAACGGCTATGCCATGCTGATGAGCCCCAATAAGGGGGGAAACAGCTGTCCATGGGTGCCACTGCCCGGTTGATATGGCTATGCGCATGCTTGAGGTACTGGCAAGGCCGAAGGTTAATGTCACTTGCTCTTATTAAGTTTGTAAATGTAAATTAAACTCCATGGACTTCACATTTCAAATCCGCTGTATTTAGATTTTCAATTTGACACACCCTATTACATGATTTTTTCGCGTTTCACGCATTTTTTTGTTATTCAAATATAGGAAACATGATGTGGAAAAAACAGAGCGATTTATCTTCCAAACAGATTGGCGCCAAATTTCTTTTTACGTATTCATTAACTTACCTTGGACTGTCACATTCCCTTTTTCTAGTTATCAGTCCCCCTCCACATGAATGAGAACACTGGCTCCAAGCTCCCCACGGTCCATAGCCACCGTCTACGGCTTCAGGCCCCTCGCTGCCATACGGCACGCACTGTCCGCGGCGACACCACTGGAGAGTGATAACAAATTAACGATTTTAAGGTGATGTTGCACGGGACTATTCGCAACGACTATTTTTAGCGCAAAACAGCGTTGCAATGTTGGAAAAATGTTGTAACAATGCTAAATAACGTCGCAACAATTGCGCTAAAAATCGCCGTTGCGAATCGTCTCGTGTAACATCTTTTAAAGTGCAAATCACTTTATCATAAGCACCGCTTATTCCGTCCTTTAACGTCTTTGTTAAAATACCTTTCTCTTTTTTAAAATGTTCGTTGTACTCAACTATGGCGCAAATTTAAGAGTTGAAGAAAAGGAGCAAAATGACGACTGACCCGTAAAAGAGAGAAAAATGTCGGCTGAGGGAGTGCAAGACACGTATTTTGGAAGAATGAGTCTTTGTTTTCCATTATTGATTAATTTCAAGATCGATTGATCAGCTAGGCTACCATCTGACTCACTGAGTTACTAACTTTGCCTAGTCCCTAGGCTTCATCATTACTTTTCGTTTTGATATAATGATACGTTTGATATAATGATTGGGAGACATTTGTTAGTCATCTAGCTCTGACTTTGTCATTCACAAGTAATTTCTCAACTTCGTAGCGAATAAGAACGCTTAGTTGGCATGAAAAGGAAAATGAACTGACAGCCCTGACACAGTCTCTTTAAGTAACTGCCTGTTTAGCACGGGTTTAGAAAAATTATTTGTACCTTTTTATGACCACAGCTTGAGCCCTCAGCGCCAGGTTCATGATGTGTGGTGCACATTCCCGTTTCTGGGTTTACGCACCAAAGCTGAAGACATATTTTCTGGAAAAAGAAAATCAAAAACATGACTTTCGATTATCGGTAAAAGTTATACATCTAAATGTTTCTGATATCTATAAAAAGTAAACAAAAAAAGACGTGTTCCCTGTATTAAAGTAAAAATGATACGGGCTATAGAGACTGAAAACGTTTTATTTTTTCTCCTTGCTCACCTCCTTTAAGAAGGGTGCTGGACAAGCGCGTGACTTGTCCCCAAAGGCCCGCGAACATTGATCATCAGCGGTATATATTTGACCTGGCAGGCGTTGCGGCATGGTAACAGACTTTTGTGGTTTGTCTTTTAAACACGCCGAATTATCACCACTGAGGAAAAATATCAAGAACAAACAAGCAAGTTAGGTGAAATTCTTGACCTGGATCTCTTTTTATAGTTGGTACAATATGAGACCACAATATCCTGACACCGTTAACTAGTATACAACTATCCCACGAATTAAGGGAAGATGAATAGTTAGGGATATATATAGGGATGGGATAGTTGTTTTAGTATTAACCAAGTCAATTGGATAAAAATGAAAAAAGTAACATTTTTGTAAATTAAAAACGTCTCTTAGTAGGAAGTTTCTTTACAATTTACAAACATTTCGTGGATTTTGTCAAGTGCCTTTTTGCAATTTTGTTGCAAATTCAGCAAGAAAACTATTTTCTACCTACCAGTAAACACCGACAAGCTGAAGTTCGTCGCTTTCTTGGTATTTTTTGTACGACTGCTTCATTTATCGTTCAAATTTCGTCTTCTGATAATTTCTCGAAACGAGACGCAATCCTAGCGTCGGTCGTAAAACAGTAAATAGCCAAGGATATTCCAAGTTTACGGAAGCCAATCAAAAGGAATAGCGAGGCGCCTGTAACAAGGCCTCACAAGATTGGTTGGGTAAACAATGAACGAATAAAGTTAACAACGCCCTGCGAGCAGAGTCTCCGTTTTTCTTTTTGAGTGAGGAGAAGAAAAAACCGAGGCTCTGTCTGAATCACGTTGAGGCTTTGAAATTGCTGACGTTCGCACTTCTGGACAAGTCAATATTGTTCTTGATCGCCAAACTGGTTTTCCCAGCTGAGGTCGCTATGCCAAGCACAGGGCTATTAGGCCTGGGTTCGAAACTGTATCCCGGCAACAAGCAGCACATGCTAGAACTTACTCGATATAGAGTAGTGTGGGAGCTGCTCGTATGGTCTGTTCTAATTGGTTGCAGGAAACAATGACATGTCATTCTTCCAATTGTTTTAGTATTGTTTGGGGCCAGGGAAACCCACCATCGGTGCCTTCTCTTCCGAGCAGCTGCTACATGACCCTCTCGATTTATGTAGAGTCCTTCTCGAGTACGACAAAATCAAGCACGTGAATGTAAGGCTCTGCTAGCAGGGTGAGTTAACATTGGTAGATACATTGTAGCCCCAAAACAAAAGAACTACGATATAGGGGTCCAATAACTTTAGAGGTTTTAAAGAGATGCAAGGCTACTGGGAATACTTACGACAGAAAAGTATGAATTGCTTGTCGACTACATAACGACCATTCAAAGGCTGATTCTTTACCGCTGGCCTGTGTAGCCATAATATTCTTGTTGTTAGAGCATGAGTTGCCGGCGCCATCATGCTGCGCACCAAGACTGTAAGACATAACAATATGACAACTAAACGTTTTTGTAACAGCGTACGCTCTGATTGGTTTATAACAAAAGTCGCTTAAGATAACATAACAAATGTTTATGACCTATAGTGAGACGGAAAACTAAGAGAGGGCCAGGGTTAAAATTAAGAAAACTAGATTGGGCCCTCTACCAGGACTGGTTTTAACAGTTTTACTTACTTGTGCCCTGTTTCATGTACAATGGTGTAAGCCGTTCCCAGTCCTCCATCCTTGCTTAGTGTGCAACTCCCTGTCAAGCTACACATTCCTTGAACTTGCGCTAGACCTTTGTTTACAACAAGAGTAAAAAATAAATAAACTTTTAGTATTTCCTCCTTTTATAATCCACTACTTCTTAATTAAATTTTGTTCTTTTAAGAAAAAGCATTAGCCCTACTGCAATATACAACATCTATGATAAATAACGCGTTTAATCTTGGTTAGTTATAAGTGTTCATTGATCTATATGGATAGTCGGTAAGACGACCTTAAGTCATTTTTGTAGATACGTTTATTTTGTTATCAAAATACAAACATTTCTCACCTAAAACTTTTTCACAGCTTTGTCCCATTCTTTTATCGGTATTTCGACAAAAATCGTATCTAGAATAATAATAAAAGACCCTTGGCGGATGAGGATATCCCATACCTTCATTGCCAGCTCAGAAATCTTAAAAAAATACAATTAGTAATTGTACGGACCATGCGGTATATGAGAATTGGAATTGTTAGCTCCAAGAGACGCTGCGATGGCACATTGGTAAAACGGAATCAAAAACTCAACCTGGAACTTTCAAAGGAGAAACAGAAAAAACATGCAAACATACAACAACTCTCCCGAAATTGTTCAGTAGCTCTATGAGGCTAACATTTCTCCACATTTAGTAGGGTGAGTGGGACTTAATGGTGACTTGGTTACTCAGGTCTTATTACGTTTCCAATGAAGCTTGAGAGACAGTGTAATACTACCGTAAATCCTTACCGTGAAATAAGAGCGGCATGATCAAAGTGATCTGGATTGCTGTCATCCACTGGATTTTGTCCTTTGGCCCAAAGGCAGAAGCTTTCCATTGTGTTACCGGCATGAGAGCTTATTACGAGTCCTTCCTACAAGTCAAAATTGTAGTGATGGCTGTTAGCAAAGTTTCTTTTTAGGGTGATAAAAAAGTTCCGTTTAAACAACCTCATCCAGCATTCAGTGAAAAGTGTCGCTATTGTACGGACGACACGGAAAGGGCAATGATAGGGCAATGATCAGTTTCTTTTCAAATGATGTGCTAAGTGGCTCTTTCATTAAGTTATTGGAAAATGGATCAAGACAAATCAAGACAATCTATCGGCCCTGTTCGATTCAGTCAGGAATTGAGATGGACTCCGGGGGGGTTTACTCGATATATCCCTGGGTGGGGGGTGCGGCGCCGCCCCTCATACCCTGGCCCTGTTTAAGACAAATATCGCTGATTTTCCTACCCTGTTTAAGACAGAATTCCGATTTTTGATACCCTGTTTAAGACGTTAGAGCTTGTAAAAATTTTGCTGTTTATCGTCCAAGAAAACATATCCTGTGTAAGACAAAAATTGATAAATCGATACCCTGTTTAAGACAAAAATCCCGAAAAACATACCCTGGCTGGCCGCACGTCCCCATTAAGCCCTTATAAGGGACCGGGGATGGACTAAGCCTTTATCAGTGGATCTCAACGCTTTAAGCGCGTGCGACGCGTGCGCGTGGGACAAGAGGCCAATTATGGCTATTCATATGTCTCCGTTGATGGACTTCTAAAACATTCTTTCCTTCGAAGATATAGCCGGGCAGCTTATAGTACGCTGAAGTTCACGTTTATTGAGGAAAAAGTAGAAAAAAAGGAAGCAGTTCGTTAAGAGCCATGTTAACCCTCCAGTTTTATCTACCATCTTGTTATGTGCTCCGTTGACGTGGTATCTACGTGAACTCATGTAGTTACCCGCGAGCTTTCTGTCCTTTTTTTCTCCCCCGTCTTTTCTATCCCAACACTACAGTTTCCTCAGTAAGGAAAAAAGACGAACTCAGCAAGCGCAGCAGAGCTTTATCGCGCGATATGAAAGAGGATTCTGCAGTTCTTTCCACAATTTATTACCCCTTTATCGTAAAACTGAAACCTCGTGAAAGTATCCTTGGAGAATAACAGTCTTACCTGATCATGCTCAAGAATTAGCAGTTTGTGCAGGACGTACTTCACGTTTGCTCCAATAGAACTGTCACTCAAAAGATTATAGGCCTGAAGACAATTATCGCAATTAGAAACTAATCATACATATACTGTATTTTAATACAGTGACGGCAATTATACAAATCATGTTCATCTGCTCCTTATAGTTAATAACTTCTAATTGGAGTTAGTTTTCAGAAGGAGCTATATCAAAATGGCGATATAACAAGGCAAAAAGATGACATACCAAGACTTTCCCCGGTTACTTACGATATTGATGAGACTTGGGACATAAGTCTTGAGTTCCTCCACTCCATGAAAATCCGTCATTTTCTTATCCGCCACGACAAGTGTTTCTATTACGTAATCTTGTTGGTAATTTACTGGAGAAGGCAGATCAAATACTTCTCTCTTACTTCTGGCACTTGACTTGTCTACAAAGACAAACAAAAAAAAGTTCAAAATGCATCTTACAGTCTTACGCTAAAAGCTAAGTATACACTATGTGAATTGCATGAGACAGCTCTACGTCTCATCAGCTGGAATAAACATCTTGAGCGACGATGTCATTTTATTTTACGAATTTCTATGCAATATCGACACAAACCTGGTCAATTTTAACTTTTTCATGTTTTGTGCATTTTGCGTTGTTTAGGGTAGCGTCCGTTATGAACAGGCGTCAAGCAAAAGTTCTGTAATTAGTAGCCCGAACGGTGCGGGAATTGAAGGACTTATTTGAGGTTTATGTTCATAGTGGTGGGAAAGTTAGTTTCGTGTTTGACCTTATTGATGTGAAAAGGCAACGACGCTGTGTGTGGTTTTAATGTCTAGTTATCTAAAAAGAACTTGAAAATACTGTACCCACATTTTTCTGTTGTGCTTATCCAGCAGTGGCTTATTCCAGTAAATATGGTGAGGTATATGATAAATGATTATGAGCAATGGAAGTATCTGCACCAGCGATTCTCATAATATTCTCTTGATATCACTTGTTTAACAAGACAGTCTGCATATTTTCCTCTATCTCTGTACAGCAAACTCACAACTATTTTTATGCGATTTTTGTAACTTAAGCGTTATTTTGAATGCCTACCTTCCACTCCACACCAGTTTTCCGATCTTTTCTCAACTCCGAGTTCCTCCTCAAGATCTTCCAACGATGACGTAGATCTCCTGTGGATAATGTGAGCGCGAGTTTTGTTTGATTCCGGAGTGAGTCGTCCAGGAAGGGGATTTATGGCAAAAACATCATCTGGGGTACGAATCAAACCACGCTGTGAAAAAAGTATAATATGCCTGATAATCATGAAAAAACCGATTAAAAATTCCCCACCTCTGAAACTTTAGGGAAAATAGGTACAAGATTTGGGTGCAGTTATTTCTAAGATAGTTTGGGTGGATAAGCGTTAGTTATGATTGGTCCATGCTACTCAAGGCAACTACAACCATCCCAGAAATCGTTATCCCCAAGCTTTGGAAGTTTCTGGAGTGGGAAATTACATCGTTTTGTTTGGAAGTTTCTGGAGTGGGGAATTACATCGTTTTCTTTTGTATTTCAGCGGTCATCATACCATATATCAGGTGATATATATACCATATATCAGGTGATCAGGTCATACTGCATTTTGTCACATTACTCTATTACTGACTCAGAACTCATTAACTCTCAGTTATGGTGTGGGTTTCATTAGGCCGTTGTCCCTACAGTCTTAGACCATCCTAACCAAGCTCCACTTCCCTCCCAAGGGAAATATAACAGTTTGCGCGCAAGTCACAAGTTATTAAACTACAGACGTCACAATTTTCGATCTTACCAGTCCATCACAGTTGCTTAAGGCCACTTTAGTGCCCAGTCTTTTGGAAGAAACGGCATGACCAGTGTAATGACAATGCTCAATTTCAAAATGGAAGCGCGAGCTTTGATTTCCACGAACCTCAACAACAAAATTGGGCGAGAGTAGCTCATCATTTAAAGTAACATTTAAGTGAAACTTCTTTCCAAAAACTGATAGATGGAAAAAGACGGGTTCCTTGATACCAATTTCCACGCTTCGGCGCCTTCTATGATTACCATTGGACAGGTCACGTGACAAAAAATTGCCATCATCGTCTACTTGGATTGGGTGAGTCACGTGATAATCTGGAACTGAAATATGATTCACATTTTAATTACTTATTACCGTCATCATTGCAGTAAAGTTTACTTAAGAATCTCTAGAGAACTTAGTTGCATAAGAACCTGTTTTTTCTCTTTTTTTCCCCAAATTTCAAAATATAAAACAAATTACCCTGGAAAAGAGTATTATTCAGCCAATATGAATTATTTTCTTAGAACCTGCTGTCAAATACATTGTTCTATTTCTATTTCAGGATCACATAAAAAAGGTTTTCCATTTCTCAGCCAAAAAACTGGGCTGGCTTGTGGTTGATGAGCAGTGCTTCCAGTTGGAATGTCCAGCATATATATTCTTGTTTCTTAGGCAGCCTGTACCTTGCCATTCCCTGCTCCCACACGTTTTTTACTGGCTTCCTTCCTTTAGCTCTTTTTCGATTGCAAAATATTTTAAAAGCATTCTTGCTTAATTTCCCCCTATTTCTCCCGTTTCCCTCTAACTGACCATCACTAAGAGGACAACGCCTCAGTGATTTAGCTTTTGATTACACCCTACCAGCTGTTCGAAATCTGCCAGTTTTCAGACCGCTACAAATAAAGGAGAACCTCAAATTGATCATAAGATAAGACTTTTTAAACTGCAAAATGATTTACAATTATGCAGGTTTGTTTAAGTTCCGTCAAGTACAAATACGGTCTACACAGACCAAACAAACTAACCATTTAAATTATCAGGCGTCAAGGCATCGTCAGATGAGTAACTTATCAGCTTTGGGTTAAAACAGAATTTTTTGAGGGACACAGAGGAACACAGTCGAAACACAGAGTTAAGCAGTGTATTCAAAGGTTCTACTTTTTTCTATTGTTTATTCTATTTTGCTAGTTTGAAGCCTTTCAAGTATATGAAATGATAAATTTTACATCCTGTAGTCTTTCGTTATAATAATAGAAACGTAGCCAAGCAAGAATTGTAGAGAAAGTAACAAAAACATTAAAATCATGTAGTGACTTCATTTACACACGAATAAATGTAAAAATATTGAAGGGCATAACCCAAATGGGTTGTTAAATTGACTTCAAAATTAAATTCTGAAATTTTTGTTTTTTACTTATTTCAATCCGAGGTTTTAATGTAATTGACCCCTTGACGACCCCAAAGCTGTTGTTTTGTATAATTATCGCGTTCAAATAAAGGATTTGATGATGATGAGGATGATGACTGGCAAATCCTGAAATTTGAGGACTAGCAACCATGTTCGATACAATATCGTGTAAGCATATGGACAGGTCACCTATGTTCGATAAAAAATCATGCAAGGATCAGACAACTCTCCAATTCAATATCTGACTGTTCTCATTGTAACTATTTAATGGCCTCGGTAAAAGATAGCAAACTATATCAGTGGAAAATTGAGGGCCTAATGACAAATACCCATTCGCATTTCTTTAACAACTGTTCTCATTAATAAACAACTGGAAGTGTAGATATCACGTATAGTAATTGAAAAAAAACTACTTAAACTTTCCTTTTAGTTCATAAAACGCTTTTGAAATTCGTCTATAAAATCGCAACAAGTGCACTTTATGTTAATGTAGTTTAAGAACAGTACAAGAACAGGCTCAGAGTACTAGGCCAATAATATTGACATCAAAAAAGTGGTCGTATAGTGGTCGATATTTAGGATTATAAATTATGGCCTATGGCCGCCCGCATTAACGGGTGACCGCATTAACGTTTTTTTTTAAGGAAATACGACCGTTTAGCTGGGCCGAAAAAAGTGGCCGTAATAACGAGGTTACCGTATATATTACCGAGGTGGCCGTAAGGCGGGGTTCCACTGAAGTATATTGAAATTATTGTCTTAAAGCTTGAAATGTTCCCTACTATTTCCGCCTGAAAATAACTTTCTACCTGTTGAATAGCGGAAACTGCGTCTTAATTATAAGCATCCCGGGAAGAAATTTGTTAGTTTTGCTTAAAGTAGGAAGGCACCCAGTAGGTATCAGTGCATTCGACATTTTCTTATTAATAATAACTGCTGTGCTTAGTTTATTGTCTTTAACCCAGGAAAATCATATGCGCCGAATATTAAAATCAACTCTTCACGTTTTGTTTGAGTTGAGGCGATGAAAGTCTTAAACATTACAAGACATACTTATGAGATGAAACATTTTTTAATTTAAGGATTTCTGTATTTTCTTTATAGATAATTGCGGTCAGATTATTTTCAACTAATTTCACAGTCTGGCCAGGCACAGTGATTTCAGATGGAAATTCCTTTTTTCGGGTGGAATTAAGATTTGGACGAGTTTTACCAGTGGTATCGATATTTTTTGTTCAGAAAAAGAAATTGCACAGTGTTAGATGAAAGCAACTTTCTTTGGATCATTGACTGTATCGATTCTATTATTATCATATGATTAAAAGCAATGACCTGCCGAAGTTATACTCTGATGTCTTAATTTGCCGATGAAAAGTTTCAGGCATCGAAATATCAATGAGATCTCTGATGAAAGAATTTACCGATATATTTGGCCTTGTTCTCCAGTCTTATGAATCAACAATCAGTTACGACTCCTCCTTTCAGAAAATCAGATACAAAAGGGAATTAACTGAATCCCTGACACCGAAATCTATCTCGCCACTTACTGCTCTGAAGGAACGGCTCGCCAAAAATCTTCTCTCTTTCGTTAGGCGTTAACAAGTTGTGCACATTCTAGACAGAAACAACAGAAGATATAAAGGTCAAATCGTTCGACAAATGTTGGTGAAATTAAACTTGTGACCCTGCTTTAAAATGTCTTTGATCATGATAAAAAGCGTTTCAGCTTACCTCATATATATTTGCTGAGGCCCGCGGAAGAATAAGGAGAGAAAGAATTAGAGAGGAAAAATGTGAAAGCATTCTTCTTCGAACGAAAAGAGGGATCCTTGTCTGACACGGTCCGATTAATACAACAGCCGCAGTACAAACTAACAGGTATGCGTCTTTCTTGAGTTAATTAGACTTTCAAATTAAACCAATGTTTTCCTGTACATATGTCTTCTTATTCGGTGACCGAAGGAGTTTTCCTCGCAGGGCAGCTACTCAAGTCTTTGTCTCAGTCGGTTCCTCTTTACCATTTAGCTATTAACGCTGAACGCAAACAATAACTGTAATTAGAAAACACCGTCCTGCCTTTTAAGGCTTCTTAAAAACTCCACTTTTTGGATTTCTTGTTTTTACCTGCGATAAGATCTTTCCGCTACCCATACCTCATATAATCAAAGTATCGCCAAACCTCTTGAGCAATTACGTCTCGTTCAGTTTCAAACAAACCGAAAAGCGAAGGTTCCCCATAACTTTAATTTCATTCAAGTAAACTGAAAACTGAAGGAAAAGTTCCCAAAGCTCTGCCGCCCTACCCAGACCTAACCAGGCTAACCACAGCCCTAAAAGCTTTTTATTCCTATAATAAATCTCAATCTGTCATTTTAGTTTGTTGAAATAAATAATTTTTTTCGGACAAGCTGAGTCACTTATACTTAATTGAAGCCTTTTCTGTATAAAATTAGCTCACCACAAAGGCAAATGTCCCTTTTAACCGATCAAATAAAACGCATTTTTATTCTTTCTCGGCAAAAGCTGCTGTCACGCGAAATTTATGAAATTGTTTCATTTGCTTTAAGTATCCGGTCTAAGACAAAAATTAACAAAAAAAAAAAAATTAGGATCCATTTCGAAAGCTCACGAAACGAGTTGATTTTAATTTCTAAAAGAACAAGAATTCGAATCTCTACAAAAAAAGTCAAACGGTGGTTTGACGAGACTAATTATTTTCATTCATGTTTTTACTCAAAAATAAAACGTTTTTTTGTTTATGATAACCATCAAAGGCAGAACTTTACGAGCTAGGATTAACATCAAAATACTTCATTTCTTACTGAAATTACTTTCTGCGGTTACACAGAAAGAGAATCTGTTGCAAAATCAGATTCAGAAAGATCTTAGAGCGGAAGGCCTGTCATATTTAGCCTGATAACTGTAAAATTTATCTCTGAAATCGTTTTGGCATTTGTCAGTTGATTATGTGCTCAGGGTGTGCTCAATCGATCTTGAATCTTTCACCTTGGCTAACACCCTTAAAATATTTACGCCAACTGAAGTTAAATCTATACAGAATTTTGATTTCTCCCATTTGGTCAGCTCAACATTCGGATTTGTACAATTAGGTTTGGTCACAAGAGTCATGTTATGTTCTATTTATTTCAATTAAAACTAATCGAATATTTGATTTTTATGTACTGTGTCTCACTCAAATTAGAAAACATTCCAGAGCTTCATTTAGTTTTAAGAATGTCCAAACCGCATTGAAATATTCAGATATACACTAAAGTACTTCATTCCCCGACTCTTCGGCGTCATGGTTCCTCAGCTTGGGCTGAGCTCAAAATGACGGAGATTTGACGATAAATCATGGTCGCCGGGCGTGTTTTAGGGATAATTTGACTTGTCGTTACTACTCCCAGTAACCACAAGTTTAAACTAAACGAACCCCTTCATATACTTTAAATAAATATGCAGACTTCAATATATGAAGGCGATCTCAGTTTTAATCATATTGTTTTCTCCCGCTAGCGTTTTTGCTTTTTTATAATAAGATTAATTCGCACTCAGTCGGCAATGAATTTCAATGCACTCGCTTTTTCACATGTGTATCATGTACTCGTTCGACAGCTTGTAGTATGAACTCTTATCTATTCAAAAATTGTAATTTAGCCATTGAAATCTTGCAAGCCATTGAAACCTTCTTATAGAACAAAAGAAACAGGTAGAAACACAAAGTGCATGAATGAATCATTTCATCAGGGTTAGTACTGCGTAGAACTATGTGCATTGGGTTTAATTGGAAGGGAAATGCAAATCGCCAAAAGCTCTCTTGTATATCAGTACTAAGGCAATGAACTCAGTTCTAAACATTGTCTACCCTGATGTTTCGTCCATAAGATCCTTGAAAACGTTACTAAAAATAAATGAACTGTAGCAATAAAACCACTGAAATTTTCCTGTAGAGTAAAGTTAAAAGTTAGAAACTCAACATGCATGAATGACTCGTTTCATCAGATAATAGATGTACAAATGAGAAAAGATACATTTTTGCATCACATTACAATTCCAACTTTTCAGTGAAAAAGGACATACACATCTGAATTACAAAAATTCTTTTAACATTCTAACATGCCAAATAAATAGATTTTTAATGTTTCGATCCTTAAAACTAAAGATAGCGCTTCTTCTTCAAGGAATTGAGATTGTGTTTTTTCAGTAGATTGCCGTTTCTGATTTTAATTGCAGAAAATAATTCCAGTATCAGGATATTCATTACCGCATTCGAGTGTTTCAATTTTGTTTCAACGGATACACATTATTTACTTTCAAGCAATTTTACATATCCGTCATATTTTATAGCAGAATTATGATATATCCTTTATTGAAGTGCAAACGTATGTGTCTTTGCGATAGAGTATGATAAGTCATTAAGATTTCGATGTCTTTTAATGTACGGATTTCTTTTCGACAAAACAATTGCTCAAACCACCTGCAGACTGTGTTGTGAGAGCCACTTGTAAAATCGTACATTTAATTCCTGTTACAAGCCTCATCTATTTAGGTACCTTTGAACGAAAATAGAAAAATTTCGCCTGCGTGGGCGATGTTTAAAATAGCACAGGAACACGTTCCTAAAATCTATTCGCAAAGTAAGCCTACATGACATCTCCGAAGAACACATCCGGTCTTCTCTTGAAAACTCCTGGAAAACCAAAATCTTATCTTCGATGGTCATTTCCCCGTTGTGGAAGCATAAAATCGGTATTTAAGGATAGTTTTAATCTGCCAAAATCAGATCTTTTCGCACTGAGATTATTAAGGAACAACACTGACTTAATTCAGTTTATATTTCCCACAATTTTCCACCTTTCTGCCGTAGCAGAGGGCTTTTTGGAGTTCCCACACAGGTTAAATGATAAGTTACATTAATCTGATCTAAGTCCAAAATTTACTGAATTATTAAAAGTCACTTAAGTTTTGCTTTTCTGCCTTAACGAGATACTATAAAAGATCTTTTTAAAATATCCCATTATGAATTAGATGCTTCTCGATTTACTTGATAAAATCCAAGTGTCGCGAAGGCCTGTGAATGCACAACCTCGAAATATTTTTTGGTAATAACGTGAAATTAAAGAAAAATGTTTGTATTGCAAAGGTTCCTTCACATTAATTCAAGAACTATAACAAAGACTTCGTCACTTTATTCACACTCTTGGTCTTTTACAATCTTTTTTTTGGCCATTTTAGTAAATAGATTTGAATTTCAAAGTCGGCTTTAGTAGGCCGATTCTTAGCAATATACTGAGTGCCACCAGGTACGAAAATTATAATAAATGTTACACAGTGAATGGAAATCTCTATCAATAGTATTTAGAGATGAAAAAATAGAGCTTTCTTTCGATTAAACTTAATTATAATCAATGTATTTTCCTGTTACTTACAATTATAAAGAAAAAAAACAACACCACATTTCTTTCTAACAGGTGATTATAATTTGAAATGAAGCAACAGAAAAGCGTTATTGCTCCGATTCTCTTCGTATTAATATAAAACAAATTTTACGTTTTTCCTTAGACATTTCATGTCTTTTCGGTAGAGAAATCTTCTTTTTTAATTATATCAATTAGTTGTAATTGATCTTGACTCAAGAATTACCAGAAACACGATTTATCTGCCTAAAGCAACACCAACAAATGGAGCTGAAAAAGCCTTCTTTTTCCTCGTGAAAATAGTTTACTCTGAGGTCAAATGGAACAATCGGAAACAGACAACAAAGACGAGGAGAAAAAAGTGTTCCAACAGTTTTCTTGAAGTACAGTCTCGACTTCAAATTGAACATCAAAATAAGGTTACTTTACGTAAATTGTGTCGGCGTTGTATCTCATTCACTCACCGAATCACGTAAAATCCCTGCAGGTACTTTTGCTCTTTAGTAGTATACCCTCCCAAGTGTTTTTAAATATCACGTTTCTTCTTTAACATGCCGCGGGCGCACAGCTGAGAAACTGCGTGAAAAGGAAGCTAAAGTCTATTTTCCCTTTGGGGAAATATTTGCTACTAATTTAGCTGGTCACGGAATCAACAAAAACCGCGGCTTCAGCTGCATGTTTTTAAAAAGTCAGAAGGCGGACTGTCAGATATTATAAATAAAAGTAACTGCATACTTGGCGAATGACAAATCAAATAGAATTTACTAATTTCATTAAAATTTAAAACTAAAAACAGCTTGCACTTAAAAATGACTCTACTTATCAGTTTTGTGCTGTACATCGCCGCTAGCCTGCTTATTTAGTCCCGTGCCAACGGAAGCAACATTGTTGGCCAACAACTGCCAACATGGTTGGATGTTACATGTTGCGCCTCAGTTTGCACACCCTGTTGCATTATGCCTCGACGCGTGTTGTTGGGAGTTGTTGCACAAAGTTTGAAACCGGTCAAACTTTTAGCTACCTGCAAACAGACGAAACAACTCCCAACATGTTACAGTTGTTGCATCCGCTTGCACGTTTCTTTATGCCCCTAAAAGAGTCGAAAAATTTAGACGTCATACATGAATAAAACAAGTCTAGTTTTACGGACGCATAGCCTCTCGATTTTTTTATGCCAAATATGTGAAAGTGAAAGGTTTGTTGAGGTTGGTAACGGAAGAAAGGTTTAAATCTTCCTTAAAAAAAAGCCATTATAACGATTGATTAATGGCGCTTTCCATCTATCAGAACTGACCGGCCAGACCATTCCCGTAGTTATGAGAATTTCCATTTTAATCAAAATATTCTAGTCAGATCAGTCAAATCCTAAACAGTATGCATGCTTTTTCAGAAAAACCTCCTGGAGAAAGCCTATTTCATACTCAAAATGACTGGTCTGGCCGTGGTCCGGCTTTAAGTCAAAAGAATTTTGGGGCAACTGACAAGTCTCCGAGGCAGATGATTTTTACAGAGGGGAAGGATTAGTCACCAGTCACCAAGTACATGTACTTCAAACTTTAAACTTCAAGGAGAATGAGAGAAAGGCTTCGGAAAAACGTTTTCTCGGTTCGTTGGTGAGGAATTTTTAAGCAATTGCTTGGTTTCGTTGTGTCTTAAGATTCCATTGACCAATCATAGTTAACGCTTGTTCACCCAAACTCCCAGCAAGGTTGTCAAACAAGTGCCATTTCGCTGAAGCTTTCAGAGTGCAGAACATTATTCAAAGGCTCATCTATGGGAGTTTTAAGGGAAAAAATGACATCATTATTGAAAACTGAATGAAATCAGTTTTATTGATTTACCAAACTTGTTTACAATATCACGATGTCCCAAACTACGATAAGTCAACTTCATTTACATGTAACTATAATAATATGTACATTAATCTATATGAAACTTATGCTACCCTAATGCACTATGCCTAATTTGCATCTTTTGTTACTCGTTCTGAATTGAATATTTACAGAAAAGGTGCTGATAAAAAATTTAAAGGTTATTAAACAAAGTGTGATTACTTTGAAATTATCTGACACAAAACTAGTAAAATAAGTAAAATTTCAATCACATTGCTTAAGTACGTGTATTTACATGAAGTATTTTTAACTACTGAATACCCCTTGGAAAGGATCTGGGCGGAAACGTGATCTGAAATTTGAAGCAGACAAAAAAAAAAATCAGTATTCCAACTAAAATACGCTACACCGGCAGAAGAACAGAGATTGGCTTACTTCAAAATGCTTTCTTTTGAGTATAACCATGTTCCCATGCATTTTCGATCCCTGCCGAACCCGAGTGTCTCAAAGCATTTCTTTGCAGCCGTTTTCTTCGGCAAAGAAAACGTCTAGCTTTCACTTTGTTGAAGTATTAACTAAGCTCATTCTCTCTTGCTACCGATACCCTAATATTTTTGTACCCATCAGACTCGACACCAAAACAATGGTGGTGCAGTGGTGAGAGCACTCGCCTCCCACCAGTGTGGCCCGGGTTCGAATCCTGGCGTCGACGCCCACCATGTGTGGGTTGAGTTTGTTGCTGGTTCTGTCCCTTGCTCCGAGAGGTTTTTCTCCGGATACTCCGGTTTTCCCCTCTCCTTAAAAACCAACACTTTCAAATTGCAGTTCGATCTGGAACACACGGACACGTTTCAACGAGTTCTTATGAACTCCTTAGTGATCCGTGGGTAAACAAATTACAATTTACAATTTACAAAAAGAAAATACGAAAGGAAAATCTGGTTCGGGCATAATTGTCATGCAGAAAACCTCTCTCTCTCTGGTTTTTCAAAGATTCGGCTCAAAGCTCAGCGCCTTATGCAGTACCTTATTTTGTAGCGTCCAGGTCGTCATTGCAAGGATTGTCTGCGTTACAGGTCACGTGAGTAGGAGGCTTGATATCAGTACATTCATTCTCTTCTACAGTCGCAGCCTGGCCTGATGAATTGACTCTCACACATTTCACATCCATGGCCTGGACACCAGCACCGCAAGACGTTGAACACTGTAAACAGAGTAAAAATATAACTATTGAGAGAAAAGAAAATCTTTCAATCAATTTGTGACTGGAATTAGCACTTTGAAAGGCTTCTTTGACTTTCCTGTTTGATAGGCTAAATTTGGATCTTTTCAATTGTGATTAGACAGAAGTTGTAATCTGCTTCTCGTTTAGCTCATACCACATGTATGCGTACTGAAGATAAATTGGCTGGAGGCCGGATAGATAACTCTTATTCAATAAGTTGTAATAAATTAAATAAACTTATTAATATGCTTTAAAACACTAATCATCTGTTTACTTTCGGGTTAAATTGAAAAAATAGAGTTATGCTAAGTTATTTGACTTACAGCGCCTGCTCGCACTGTGTACCACTCTGCTGGACAGGTCTGAGTTCCACATTCCTCGTAAGCTGCTGGTTTTGGTCCCCTGCAATCACTTTCTTTCACTTCTATCTCCACACTTTGTGAATCTGTGGCACAGAAAACCTCGCGTGACCTAACTCCACGCGTGCCGTCATTGCAGGTTTTAGAACAATCGGTCCATGGACCAAACTCCCACCTACAGGAAAAGATAAAAAGGATCGGAAAGCGTCTCAAAACTTTTTTCATGATATTAAACAATTATTGGATGAGGTTTTTGTGATATCGGGAATAATCCACTGAACACTTGATTATTTAGGATATCACATAAACCATATTCTATAATTTATTTGTAATACATTGCTAACGACAATCATGCTTTGCGCGCGCAACCTAGACAGGGGGCCACAATACTTAATAAACTGTAGCGTCTTAGCCAGTTAGTAGAGATACTACTTTAGATCAAACAGTAGTCTTTTACTGGAGCCGCCTTAAGAGAAAGTGCTTTCTACGCTTGGTGCCAGATCCTTTTATCGCTGAGTTTTGCGCGATATTCAATCATTAACTATCTTTAAATGCAAACTTTAAGACCCACCTTTTTCGGACAGGTTAGACTATTGTTATTTTTGATTAATTAACTTAATTAATTAATTTCTCATTCAATTGCATTTTACATTTCACATTTTACTTTGTTTATTTATATCATTTAGAATAGATTTTTAACTGAGTGTATTACTGTAAAGCGCTATTGATCATTTCTAAAATTAAATCAAAAGAATAAATAAACAAATTAATATTCAGTGTTTGCATATTCACATAGTGGCTCTTCTTCTACCGTTCTTTGGGAAATTTTGTCTTTGTCTTTTAGGAGATCGGAAAACCGGAGTTCCCTGAGAAAAACTCCTCGGAGCAAAGACTAAAACAATTAAAAAACTCAACCCACGTGTGAGGTCACTTCTGCGTTTCGATTCCTGGCCACAAGTCTGGGAAGCGAGTCTCACCGCTGCTTCATACTTGCCGAACCAGCAGAGTGTTGATTTTGTGACCGCTTACTCGTCTCTTTTTATTCAGTTATCCCTTTCTCAAAAACTAGGGCCACTATCTTACATAAAACAAGGCCAGAAATCTAGCTAAACTGTTTGAGGAACACAATAATATTGTTTTTGAACACATTTGGTCTTGTATAGCGCCATAGTTCCCCATGTCTACACCGGTTTGTCGATGATTGCATGCGACTGCTATCGCAACGCTTCAGTTTATCTCAAGAATATTTTTCAAATAGAACAGCTCTGCAAATGGCGATTATATACTACTGAAGAATGAAGTCTTGCTGATGTCATATACTCCAGAGTAAATTCAGTTCTAATATACACTCATTACATTACCGGCCTCACCTCGCAGGGCATCTCTGGAGATTGCACTTTTTATACTTGTCCTTAGGCCTCTTTTCCTCACAAAACTGATCTCCAACCGCTGACTCGTCGTCGTCACGGACACAGACTGCAATCATCGTTTCCACCCCTGTAAGAAAAGGAACCTTAACACAAAACGTGGAAATTGCTTCTATTTCAGTTTATAAACCTGTTTCGTGTTGAGTAAGGTAAATTTGACGAATTTTTATGGAAAAGGCTAACATAAATCGAATTGGTAACTTTCTTTGAAGTTTTCACTGCAAAACGGGTTTATATATTTTTCTTTCTTTAAGTGACTTTGCTATTAGCGCTCAATATCCCCCAGCCTCCGATGTCCTGATATTTATTCACCAATTCACAATGGGAGTAATTGCTCGAGAAGTAATAATTGCTTGCATGGTCTTTCGTATGTTAGTCAGGTTTTTCTGAGATGAAACTCAAACAACGGTGATAAACATTGTGAGCGTTCTCATTTTCATATAAACTTGACTTTTCGCATGCTAGTCAACATACATTTTCAAAAGTGAACGCTCACAGTATTTAACACCTCTGTTTGTGTTTTATTTCTGATTAAACTACGATGGCCCAAGAACAAAAGCCTTTAGGTTTTTTTGGTTTATACAACTTGCAGCAACCCACCGTATAATCTGGAGATTTATTTTTTTTGCGAGTAGGTCGCTGTGAGAACGAAGACATTGCGTCGAATGACACTATTTGAGAATATTCATTCATTCTACACAGTTGCAAGACTATTATTAAAAGGATATTTTTGGAATGTCTTAGAGGTCTTTGAGGACCTGAAATAGAGAGAAATGTGACGTCACGTTATTCATACCTTCACCACAGGTAACAGAACATCCTTCTGATGTCATAATCCATTTAATCTTTGTTTTCTCCCGAGCCTGATTTGCTTTTTTGGCGTCACTAAGTTCTTTATTGACTTCCTCAAGTTCTTGAATAAGTTCTGGAAAGTCATCACTGTTTGAAAAGAGGTCCCTTCTAGACTGGGCACCTCCTATCACATACCGGCCAGTCACTTTGTATTTTTTCTGGTCATCATTAGCCTCAAACTGTAGCGAAAGCCGAGAATTGAGTAGGGTAAGTAATACGTAAGGGTTATTGGGATTCATTAAGAGAGGATAATGTCCCATCTACTACTCAAGGAAAAACCAACCAAACCAACCAACCAACCAACCAACCACTCAACAAACAAATCGCTCATCATCTCTCTACACTAGTGGTTCCAGTTCACTTCATCATTCCATTTACACGTAATGAAGAAAGATGCGTTCCATTTTTGTATTTTGGAATAAGAATACACAAAATTTTTGTACAGACTTTTTCTGTCGTTATTTCTTGATCACTTGAACGCTATTTTAACAAGACAGGTTTCTAGATTTTCAATGCAGTGAATACCATGATTTCTAGATTCTCTGTTTATTCGTATTCTGGAATACGGTCAATCGAATGGGCCTTTAATAAGAGTCGAGTTTCACCAATCTAACGACTTTCATAAACGTCACGACCCGTATGCTACACCTGCATACACTGGCAAACATACAGCTCGTCTCAGATGAAACATGATTCGTAACATAATTAAACAAAAAGCCTTCAAATGACCCTTTTCCTGGATTGAGCAGTGCCACAACAAGGTTCGTCGAGTTACAAGCCTCTAAGATATTTATGGTGTATTGATTACTTACCAGTAATGTTAAGCTCTCTGTTAAGGGACCTCGGGCTGTGATGGTCTCCCTTTCGTTTTTCTTACTGAATTTAAAAGTGGTTCCAGCCCCTCTAAAGTTCTTTGGACCGTAATCGGAAAGGTACGAATCGTAATTCAGGATATTGTTCATGTCAGCATCTTCCAACACTTGGAAAAAAAAAATGAGAACACTGCATAAATAGTATAATTTCTTCTTGTTACCCCACACTACCGGAAAATGCCCAGGAGAAAAGTGAGAGGTTTAACAATTATAATGCATTTCAAGAAAGGTAGTTAAGGAATTGCCTTCCCCTCGGGCGCTGAAATTTGACTTTAGCGTTTTGATTACTGTGTTTTCTTTGATTACGAAAATCCCATCCCTGCTCTGTACTAGTATATCATCGTCCCCATTGAATATGATACAAGGAAGGTCTCCTCGATTTCTGTTTTACCGCTATTTTCACTACACTGGAATCATTCTTCTCAGTTCCAGGTCATGATTTCTGTCTGCTTATGTCTGCAGAAAAAAAAGATTAATGGCCGCCCGCCAAAAGCTTTCTTTAGTAGGAAAGAAACCTTTTAATTTTTAAGGGCTTCTCTTTGGATTCTCTTCAAACACTCCCCTTCTTTGGACTAAATATTTCTCCTTCGTTCGACATTTTAAATAAGCGCCCGGGTGCCTCTTGCATGCAATAAAGTTTCATAGAGCTCATGACGCCAAGATTACTTACTTAAGTTGTTAACAGAAGCAGTAACTTCTTGGATTTCAATATTTCGAGCTCCTTTAGGAAGAGTCGTTATTGTCTGGTAGTAGTCCCCTGTAGAATAGAATAAAAGAAGGTATTCGTTGATGAAAAAGTACTTTTAAGCATTGGCAGCAGCATGAAATAACTGATATCCCTGTCACGTCATACCAGTTTTAAAGAAGATGAGCAGAAAACTAATGGATCTTCGATATTTATATCAGTATTCGATCAAGCCGCCAACCTCGAATAAGCGCCCACCTGAGTCGAGTAAGTTCCCACGCTCAGGTAGGAGAAGTAAATAAGCGCCAAGCCTGGAATTGCCTGGAATAAGTGACAACATTTTGTTATTATTTATTGCTTGATTACAAAACAAATTTACTACTTGCTGCAAAAGGTTAAGATTTGATAAGCGTATAACCTCGAATAAGCGCCCACTCTAAAGATCCAAAAATTTACCAAGCGCCCAGGGCGTTTAATCGAATAAATACGGAAAAATCCAGTAGTGAGTTAAAGTTTTAAACCTAGTCTAGCGCTAACTGGCCTTCAAATAAGGCCCAGTGAGCCGTGGCTCTCTGTTCCTGTAGCTACAGACCGCACCCTGTAGTTGCTCGCGACGAAGGGGAACTGATTCAAACGCCTAACTTACATCCTGGCTTCCGGTTGAACGTGAAGGTCTTTAGTTGGCCGCTGGAGGCTGGTTTAGGCTTGATCGGCCTTGGCGTTATGTTGCCATTGATAGTACCCCCAGAACAGCTAGAACCATCTCCATTACACAATCCACATCTGTCTTTCTTCGCTCTGGAATCAAAGCCGCCGTCACATCCAACGGCCTAGAAGAAAATGGTATTTCGCAAAAGTCACGAGAGACAATCTCTGAAGTCTTTTAACGTAGGGATAAATAGATCTTATGAAATAGGGTAGCACAGCTATGACAGCAGCGCCTCCTGCTGATGTAGTCGGGGTTCAAATCCAGACGTCGACTTCATATGTGAGTTGAGTTTGTGATTAGTTCTCTCCCTTGCTTCGAGAGGTTTTTCTCCCCGTACACCGGTTTTCACCCCCCTTTCCCTCACCCCCTAAATTAAAAACCAGCACTGCCAAATTCTAATTCGATCGGGAACGCATGGAAACATAAGAACTCCCACGTGTTTCGTGGGTACTAAATTACATTTAATTATAAGGTTTATGGGCTTACAGGTCTTGTTTAAAGAACTAGTATAAAAACACCTTACCTCTGCAAAGTCTGAAAAATACCCATCATTGTCCCTTATTAGTTCATATTAGCAAGTAACGAGAGAAAATGTCTTTTCTCTCAGACAGGATTCGAACCTATGACCTTCCAAATATTCTATTTTCTAAACTTCCTTAAGCAATATTATATTTTACCTTGCATTGTCCATTGACGCAGAATGTCTTGTCAGGTTTATCAGAGCAGGGCGTTCCGTCCTTTACATTTCCAAAAGTTGTGGTGTCTCCATTCGTTGTAGCACAGCTTAGAGTACACTTTGGAGAACCTGAAATAGAGAAACTATAGAGGATAAGATGTGCACTCTAGTCTTTGATCGAATTCTGATAGTACATTTTTTTATTTTAATGGTTCTCTTTTTCTTCTCTTACTACATTTTTGCTTGGAAAGCTCCAAGTAAAATTACCTTTTTCGGGAAGTTTCATTAAGCCGAACAATAAAAGAGACTAAACTACTGGTATCCGAATTAAACAGAAGATGTTCCTTAGTCTTAGGGCCCTTATCAAAAGTCAGATTAACTGGCCAGCCGGACCGGTCATTTTAAGAGGAAGGTGGATTAGCGCAGTTGATTAGTGCACGACCTTCTGTGTGGGAGGTCCCGAGTTCGATTCCTGTGTGAGCACAACTGAAATCCTTCTTTCTACTTCTTTCCTTTCCGTGTAGCTTTAAGTTAAGCTTTTAATACCCGTAAAACGGAGCACTGAGGGGGGTAAAATGAGAGCACCGTTGGCCTCACGTTTGTTAGCAGATGACTATTTCCAGCAACCGACGTAAAATTAGGACTCTTTACCTTTTTTATATTTCTTTCTCGAAATTTCCTCCAAAACCCATCACTGTCGAGCTTATCTGAATGGACGGATCTGGCTGGTTTAGGTGCGTTTACTAGTCTATGAGCAATTCTTTTTACAGCTTGACCGGTCTAACAAATGGAAAGAGTTCTTAAGCCTTGTTGTGGTACCTATACCTTTAATATATACAAACCTTGGGTATAATATGGGTCATAAATCCATTTGAATGGTCCTCCTTCAAACTGAACGTGTCTGTGGTTTATACATTGTCTCATCCTGGGATTCTCGGAGTTTGGAGGGCATTTCTACAGTGTAAAATTAATGTCAACGTGAATATACTTCCAGTGACAGTTTCCAATAAGAAAGATGTTTGGATAATTGACAACCGAATAGTGCATATATAGACGCCTTGATCAATATTCACTTAGAAGCCTTGCCTTGTCAGGACGAATCAGTGCACAAAGGCTCTGGAAATGGTTTAATTTTTAGCCCACAACTCTCTCTAATTCTTACAGTCTTCTAACATCTGGTTTAAAAGAATAGTCCCCAAGAAAGGTAACCCAAGAAAGTCTTGGATTCTGGATTCTTCGCTTTGGATACTTGACTACCGTCATAAGCGGGATTCCAGACTCCTTAAGCTGAATTACTGATTCCAAAGCCCAGGATTCCCGGGTCCACAAGTAAAACTTCTCCGGATTCTGGGATTCGGATTACCTTACATACATGGGGCGAAGAGAGGCGAAGAGTAACTCAGCCTCGTTCCCAGTCGACCTCAGCGATTTCTGATATGACGTCGCGCTCGGTTCCACGCCTCCTCCATTCACTTGGATAGCGTGAACTAGCCCGGGGAAGAGGCTGAGAGTCTGATTGCTAACGATATGGGCTGAAAGCTGTTAGCTGATAAATCACCAAAAATCTAATTGCTGACTGAGATTTCAGCACCTCCATGCACAACCTCTACTCTTTGAAAACCCAATAGAAATGTTAGTATCATGCCCATAGTTGCCATATTACGAAATATATAGAAGCTGTAATGGTAAAAAAGTGTGTTCCTCTAAGGTAGGGCTGGTTAGGAAGAAAATGGCCTGAAGCACAAACTAAACTTTGAACTGCAAAGTTAAATTGTAAATTACCTTAGTACAATATGTGTATTCTGCAGCTTTCCCTTCGCACAGTTTTCCTCTGTGTTTTGGTCTGATCAAGTAGAGAAAGAAAGAGTCTCTTACTGATCAAAACGTTCTAAAAAGCTCTAATAATAGGTTACCTTGGAAATGTCTGTGAGCCATGTAAGGCACCCTGTGTAGGTTTCTGTAATCATATCATAGTGTTTAAAGAAGAATGATTTGGATAGGAGAGTGATTTAATGAAAAAATTATCTTGAAAATGGAACGAAGGAAACGTTAAGGCGAAAACACCAACATGGTTTAAAAAAGACAAATTGATACAGAAACTGTGATGTAGTTATGTGAATAACTGAATTGTTTTTTTTTTCTTATGAAATAACTTACGCAGGATTGTTACACTTGCGCATTCTCTTCTTAAGTCCTCCTCCACAGCGCGGGTAACATGCGCTCCACCTTCCCCAGGCCCCCCAGTTACCATCCACATTCTGGTAACCTGTTTTCCCTTCAGGGAGGCATTTTCCCCGGCTACACACCTAAGAGATAACAGATTGAGCCTCAGTAATTATGGTCCTGAAACCATATGAATTAACTCAGTGAACGTTTCAAAAACAAAATAACATCCTTGAAAAAACTTCGCGACACTCACTAATTTTTGACGTTGCGCTTAGAAATGTTTGACAAGTCAATGCTACTTATTTAGAGCTAAGTTAAAATTTTTGTCTGCGCAGTATTTTCTTTTTGTGTTGTTTCTATTTATTTTGAGTAAATTGACGTGTTGGACATATCTTTTTAGTAAATTGAAATCTCAATGTGTTTGAAACCGGAGGCTTGTTTTCTCTCCTTGGGGGATGTTCTGTAGTGATCTTCGGAGCGGAGTCTCGTTTTGATTTAAAGCCATTTCGCGTCTTGCGTAGCCTCAGGATAAGCAAAATAAGCAAAATACACTTGAATACTATCGAGCTCATTGCCTTTAGGTATTATTTTTGTCCTACGTGTGAATTTTTCGCGGTTTCGTTAATAGAAGTGGATTAAAGGAGGATCGGTACCATGTCATCGTTGAGACCACATATTGTTCCATCTGCGGCTGGTTCGTCATTGGACTCGCAATATCCGTCAGGTTTTAGACAGTGTAAGGTGACGCACATTTTCTGTAGTGAGGAAGATCAACATCCAGAAAAATAATAAACAAACTGAATAAAGTTTAGCCGCACCTGGGATAACATACTGACATAACAAGTATTCCACTAAATAAATGCGAATGGTAGAAGGAAACGTCCTACTTAAGGTGCCAGATTAAGCAAATTTCATAAGTAATAAACCCGCGTTAGTCAGTTTATCATTTATCAACTGCTCAAGTTAAAAACTCAGCTGCGAGGATCTTTTTTCGATTAAAAGATTTAACTCGTTTTAAGTATGCTCCACTACATTTTCTCACAGATATTAATTACTCAACCGGGTTTTACGCTTTTGTTCTTGATGTACATAAGAGTGCGAAGCTAACTTTTCCATTTTTACTCATATTGTACAATCAAATTTCCAGTTATGCCGAGATCACCTGTTGTCTTGCTCGTCTAACTTATAAAACTTGTCCTTCTCCCCCCCACCTCACCTTTTTATATTCTGGCATTTGACAAACACTTGAACCAGCACCAAACATGCGCACACATTGGTCGTCGCCGTTGTAGAGTTTTCCCGGCAGCCCTTGAGGGATTGAGACTTTGTGGTCGCCGCTGTCATTCAGGCATTTAGACTGAGCAGTCCTACGCAAAGGTAAATTCAGTTCAAAGCATTAATGCAAGGGGTAATAGTAACATACAGTTAAATATACGTTGCCTGTGTTTTTGTTATCCGTTAGAGTTGAAAGTCGCTCTGCATTCAATAGTGAATGGATTAAAGTCGGAAGCAAAAGTACAGGTAAAATTAGGCATGATATATAAAAAATAGTCACAAAGGAAAATTATTTTCACTGAAATAAGCACCCATTTATGTCCAGAAAGTTAGAGAAATCTATTCAGAGTAAAGTTTATCCAAGGAAACAACATGGTGGAGTTTAGGCCACGTCAGAGGTTTAGTAAGTGGTTGGTTATTCAAGTAGCAGTGCTGTTCATATGTAAACTTCAACTTACTGCAAAAAGTTTGTGATATAATTCCGGCTACAGGGTGACCAATCAAATGCTGTGATTTTACCGCTGGCCCTAGTTGCCATGATGTAAACACCATCCCTACACTTGTTGCCTTCTGCATCATGTTCAGCTCCCAAACTGTTAAAAAAAAAAAAAAAAGAGATAGGGTAATCTGACTCCATAAAGACGACGAAAATTTTGTCCAACGGGGTTGGAGGAAATGATTTGTGGAAGTTCGGGAAAAATTTTGGTGGGGGACAGCCACTAACGCGCGACAGGAATGGGGTGTGGTTCCTCGCCCCATTCTTCCTCCGGCGCTGGCGGCTCCCTCGCCAAAATTTTTCTCAAACTTGCACGAGTGAGCCTGTTTGCCGGTTAGGAAACGATCAATTGCTCATCATTCTTACTTATGAGCTGTCTCATGAGCCAGCGTGAATGCTGTTCCCAATCCAGTGTCTTTGTTGAGAGTGCAGCTTGTGTCTCTCTGACACATTCCCTTCAAGTCAGCCAAGCCTAAACAACGTAACACAAAAAAAGTAAAATTAGTGGCTACATGTAGTAGTATTCTGGTTTAGATATATTTTTCCAAGATACATTGCAGTTTGAAATAGAAATACTTGAAAAACATTTTCTTTTTCTGGACAGAAAAAATTACGCAGTTTTTCAGTTGACAACCTGTAGCTTCCCTTTTATAAAATGAAGGGCTTGATGTTAAATTGAACAGATGACTTACCTAGGATAGTTCCACAATCTGCTGCCTGCCCGTTACCTTTGCCTCTACAAAAATTTAACCTACAAAAGAAGAATTTTTTTAGGTAGCCTCAAATAAATAATCTGAGCAATCTGAAATTTCGCTATTTGACGTCTTAAACAGGGTGTGTTTAAAGGGAACCTCCACTTCAACAAAAAGATAAGTTTAAATCACAGGAAATAACTGTTACAGTCAAGTCAACCTAAAATATTTTGCGCAAAAAAGACGTTTGTATCCGCAGCCGAAATAAACTTTTAGATTCGAAGCCTATTTTTGTTTTCTGGACCCCCAACGGCGTCGCCAATTTGAATAATTGTGACGTGTAATGGTTGATCGGTGATTGACAAACAAAAACAAAAGCTTTGTGTCAGAACAATAGAGCAACAAATAGCACAGCTGGAAGTCCAGAACAAGGATTTCGGCGCTGTTTCGCAGACGGAGTTAACCAGAGTTTAATTTCGTCTGCGCGCAGGCTACCTGTAGCTTCCCTTTTATAAAATGAAGGGCTTGATGTTAAATTGAACAGATGACTTTTCCTGATATAAACAACTTTTTGCCCGGACAAATTTCGAACAAATTTGTTTATCAACATAATTTTATTCGATTTAAACTTATTCTGTAGTAAGAGTGGAGGTTCCCTTTAAGAGTATGAAGGCTGCAGATGAACAGTCTACATTCGCGAAAAAGGCCAATTTTCCCCCCAAAATATGGTTCCATTATATTTCTGAGTATGAAAAACTAATTAATTCTATATGCAAAACGAAACAAATCAGGCTTATAAAATAAGGTCTCTTGTCTTATACAGAGTAGGAAAAAGAGCAATTTTTGTCTTTAGCAGGGTAAGGTTTGAACGCTTCAGCGACACACCTCTACGGATACTAGCCTTCCACTCAAGCGTTTTTAGGGGTGCTCGTATCTCGTCCCTCCCCACAAACGGACGAAATATACGAGCTCCCCTAAAAACGCCTGCGTAGGAGGTTATACAGACACCCACTCAATACAGACACCTGTATATGATGGACAGTTTCGTTTGTCCCGACGAAAAGCTTATTTGTTTTGTCTAAAACTGGCCCGCTTTATACGGACACGGCTAATACGGATTTGAATTATGATGACTCACTGCATCACAGATTATCAAGGTTCAGTCAAGGAAAGACTTTGAGAACGTAAGGCTGATCAGATTGCCGAAAATCCCTGCAACGCTAAAATACTGGACTTGATGTAAATTTGGACATACAGCTCATGTAGAACACGGCTTTTTAAATTGGCTGATATTTGTGAATCAATCGATCACTCCGTCCAACCGGAAGCTAACCGGTACCCGAGCATAATCTCACAAGTATACTTGCGAGCTACAAGATACTGACTACAATATACTAAAATACCTCTCCCTGATTTGAAACAAGTTTCAGTTTGCAAGAATTAAGATAAAGCTGCATCTTACTTGGAAAAAAGGGCGGCATGGTCGAAGTGCTTTGGGTTTTTGTCATCTGCCTCATTTTGCCCTGTGGTCCATTTACAGAAACTTGACAGAGTACTAGCGGCATGCGTGTTTATCTCAAGGTTGTCCTAAAAAACGACAAAAATATCAAAACTGAGTTTATAAGTTTAAGGACTCCCTTTCAGCATCTCGGAAATTAAGAACACCCATATGTGATAAAATCGTCAATTGAAGTCCCTCTGTATGATCCGTGGTGTTGTAGAAGGCAAATTCGTCCAAAGGGCTTTTCTTTTTCCTTAGAAAATGGAAGGGGGGGAAGTGCTGGGGACTAGGTTGTTTAGAAGGCTATAATGTTTAATAAGCCAGGCTACTAATTTTTCTGTGGTCTTAACGGACTATGTCTATCCAATCTTCAATATCAGAAGTAACGTCAAAGACACGAAATAGATATAACATTTTGACGCTTCACCGGCAGTAATGAACCAACAATTGAACTTTTCTCCCATAACTGTGACCTTGTTCACCGTTTGCCTTGCTCTAGGTCTCATTATTCCGCACAGCCTATGCATTTTGGTTCACGTGGTCCCTGTGTCGGATACGCTGCCGAAATACATTAACCGAGAAGGCCTGAGATGACGCCGTATAGGGACTAGGAAAGTTCACCGTTACATTTCCACCTGGTTACTGATCCTGGTCCAGGCCCAGATGCAGGTGGGGTAACAAATACTACTCGGCTTTTTGTGTTCAGTTATGTAGAGCCCTGCGAACGTCTGGATAAAACAAATCAATAAAAATACCTAACAAACCTATTCTGAAAGCCTTCTTTCACAGCTCCAAAGTCAAAGCAGCATTCCTCTATCACTTGTTATACTGATAAAAGTACCCTTAGCAGAGGACAAATTGGTTTATTTGTTCGTTTTTTAATTCTTCACAAACGCGCTCCTCCATTTTTTCTTTCCTTCCTTCTTCCTTCCCTTACTCTTCCATTTATTTGAATTTTTTCTTTCCCAGTCTTTATTTTTCAAGACCTACCATATCTTGTTGGAGAATCAATAGTTTTTGGATAATGTACTTGATATCCGCTCCAATAGAAGCATCTGATAGTAATCCATGCGCCTGAAGAAAACAAAAATAAAGTAAAGTATCATTCTGAATTGATCTTCATTAATTATGTCTGCGAAAAATGGCTCTTGGTTTGCGACATTGAGGGCATGTAATGATCTATGTCATACCAGCAGCGAGTGTGTCGCACATGGCGACAGAATGTAGAATTGTGTCAGGTTTGTAGCCTGCGTAGCAGGCCTCCAAAGGGGTAGGGGGTAGGGGATAGGGAGGAAGGGAAAAGGGAGGGGGATTGGGGAGAAGAGGTACGTTATATCAAAAAAGACCTCATAATGTCCAGTTTCTCCTTAAACTATATAATATATTCTCCTCTATTTAAATAAAGACCAAGACAATTAGTTCAAGGGACCGTTAAAAATGGACTCATTGCTATCTACAACCCGATAAAGGCACATGGGGATGATGGGAAAAATCCCATCCAAATCTCAGTATTAGTTCAAAAGGCACGTTTGCATATGAAAATCAGTTACTAGACAGAACATGCGCACGCCCACCAAAACCGTCCAAACATTACGGGTGTGATGCGACCTCGTCAACTACAACAAAGTTTTAGAAGATTTTGGGTAAAACGTTTGAAATTAAAACAGATTTAATCCCATCCAACACTGTCTAGCAAGGTGATCAAACAGATCTAATAAATTTCGTCCAAAATGTTCAATCCAATAAAGTTTGTCCAACGTGATCGTTTCGTTTGAATAGGGCCAATATCATCTCTCAGGGGCACCCAACCAGAATATAGCTCAAAACCACTTATTAAAACATCAGCATTGTTAAACGTATTTTAGTCTTTAAAGGGTAGATAAAGGCATATTTTTATCCCCTAAAAATGTTTCATTTGTTCGGATTTCGTAGCTGAAAGTCTAGCGATCCGAAAATTATAGGGATCAAAACTTACCTTTTCGAAAATTTCAGCCAGAAAAAATGCTCCCGAAAATTCTAGGTGACCTTTTTAGGGTAAAAATCGGTTAAAAATGGGCAACTATACCATTGTTTAGATGTTCGAAAATCCTAGGAGAGGCAGGCAAGCAAGAAATTTGACAACAAATGTTCCGAAAATTCTAGATCTCAAATCGTCTTCCGAACAGTTATATTCCGAAAATTGACGTTGGGTGCTCCTGATCTCTTGATACATTTGTAAATGTTTGCATAGCTAGGTTATGGGTCATACCATGTTGACAATAGTGGGAACGTATTTCTTTATCTGATTGATTCCATAAAACTTCGTCATGATTTTCTCTACGACAATCAAGGATTCAATGGTTCGTTTACGGTTCAATGATGAACGAGGATAATTCATGTGTGATTCGCTTTCGTCGGACTGCTGAAGTGTTGAGTGCCCTGAAAATTTGAAGCAAAGAAAATAAGCAAGTTGTGAAAAACAATGAAGGGCTTTGCTAGTTATCATCGCCGAATGGGAACGTAAATTAATTTTACTTAAAGGAGCTGTGTCACGAAATTCAGCCACATTAGGAAATTACAAAATGCCCGTTAAATTAAGAGAAACATGAAAATAACCGCTTAAAACTTTAAAGGAAGGCTAAAATAACATAACAGAAACAACAGATGCCACGGATGGGCAAAAGTGAAGAAGATTGAAACGGATTGAAATTAGGGTTTTTGAAAACTGTTCAGCCTAACAGTTTTTAAAAGTTGATCCCTGCTGCTTGTAACTTCAAAAATAATGCTCAGGAGACATATTTGTTTGTCTCGGATCTCTGATTTTGTCATTTACGTGCAGTTTCTTTGCTTACTTTAAGTTCCATAGCGATTGAGGGCGAGTAATTGGCAAAATTAAACAAAATGAACTGAACTGCCGTGACACAGCCCCTTTAAGTAGCATTTATCGTTCATATACAGCGACAATTGCTACTTACTTCATATAGTTAATATTCATTGATGTCTGTTTTCCTGATGACAATCTGTCCCCGGACAGTAGGGGCTATGTTTTAAAATTTTAATCTAGTAGCAATATTAAACCCATTTTCTCGCGTTTTTATTCGCTGTACGCTCTATGCGAACTGTTAATTGGTCAGTTAGCTTATAACTGTTAGTATGGCCTTGCCAGATTAGCCACACATGCGGTGCTTTAAACAACTTAACAAAGAGATGATTTAGTTGACCTGTTAACTTGAAATTCCCTATGAAGGCCACTTAGTTCTCAAATGAAACATTGTTTTTAAAAAAAATTAGGAACAATGATGTCCAGCGAGCAAAATCTCTTTCAAGGCATGCAAAAAGCTTTCAGCCAATTAACTGATATACTCGAGATGGTCGTCAGTCAAAGCTCTCCAACTTGCTCAAGAGAATGAATGTTTTAATTATTCCAAAAATACCTTGCACTCCACACCAGCCTGCAGATCTTTTCTCGTCTTGCATGGCCCTTCTGAGAGTCTGGTGCGGGGCTAAGGATCTTTTATGGATCACGTGGGCTCGTGTTTTGTTTTTCTCCAGTCCCAGTCGGTCGGGCAGTGGATGTACCATCAAAACGTCCTCTGGAGTGCGCATTAATCCTTGCTGCGTGTATTCATTGTTATAAAAACAGACAGAAAAGAAAAATTGAGAAAAAAATTTTTCCAGCATTATTTCTATATCAGTTGAAATTACCGTATTTATTCGAATAAGCGCCCAACCTCCAATTAGCGCCCACTTCGAGTAAGCGCCCAACCTAGAATAAGCGCCCATCCCCACCCGAACCCCTCTTCATCCTCCCACACCCCCCAGAAAATATTGAATAAGTACTCAAGAGACTCCCGCGAAGGCGGAGTTTTCTTCCGAGTATTTTACAGAAACCTTGCTTTGTTGCGTTACTACCATTTATTGTTTTGTCGCAAAATAAACATATTACACTTGCTGAAAATGGTAAAAATTAAAGACCGAATCCACCAGGAAATCGAGTAATTTTACCTTTCAGTGGACAAAAACCTGCATTCTTTTTTACACTTTTCAAGTGTTAAAGATGTAATTAGTCATCTCTGTAATAACACAAAAGACCATTTTCTTATGGGAGCCAGAGAAAATAAATGTCAAATTTCATAAAATTACGTCTTACACATAAAATGTCCAGAATGTTTCCTGTGTTTAGACAATTTTTGTGAAATTTGACATTAGTTTTCTCGTACTTCCATGAGAAATTTTCTTTGGTGTTATTACAGGTGACTGCTTACATCTTTAGCCCTTGAAAAATGTAAAAGAGAATGCAGTATTCTCTAAATTATTCTGGTACAAGGTTTTTGCCCTCTCAGAAATAAAATTACTCAATTTCCTTGTGGATTGCGTCTTAATAAGCGCCCAGCCTTGAATAAGCGCCCACTCCCTAGGTCGAAAAATTTAATAAGCGCCCAGGGCGGTTAATCTAATAAATACGTTAAACTTTTACATACATTCTTATCTGGCTTCCTAGTCAGCGTCCATTTATTTACGTTCGTTTTTTCATTTGTATTTGTTTAGAATACTTTGTGCTTAAAACTTCAAAGTAAAAAGCCGTTACTCTCGTGCACCGGTCCTGAGTGAGGGAAGAGACTTCTATATGGGATGTTCTAAGTCTTGATGAGAGGTAGAAATTGTAGATTAATTTGGGAATCACTTCGTTCAGGAAAAAAAGCGTGCACGTTTCTCGACATTGGGAATTTTTAATCAGGTAACGCATGACCGTGACAAATCCGTGAGAAATGCCGCCGTTAGAGCATTTCTAATACGTAACTAGTAAATTATCGCGGTTTTAATCTCCTGTAACTTGCTGATTATTTTAGTAGGGCATGGTAGGCGTCAACGTTGCGGTTGTTTTATGGCATTGTATTAAACACCTCCCAACCCACATCTCTCGATATATTAACGACATATAGCTTACCAGTCCATCGCAGTTGCTAAGTGCTACTTTGTTTCTTTTTCCTTCAGGAGAAATTAGCTGCCCAATGTAATGGCAGTGTTCAATGTCATAATGAAATTCTGAGCTGTTTCCTCGAATCTCTACCTCAAAATTGGAAGAGAATAACTGATGATTCAGTGTGACACTCAAGTGGAAATCTTGCGCAAAGGCTGAGAGTTTAAAGTATACAGGCTCTTGGACAGAACTTCGTACATCTCTCTTTCGACGAGCATTGCCATTTGCTAGGTCACGTGATAAGAACTTGCCGCTCTCATCAACTTGAACAGGATGAGATATGTCGTACTCTGGAACTGTGTGTAAAACATATCAAAAAGGTAAAAATGAGATGTTTTAAAAAGCCTTTGATGCTGTCAGTATAGCAAGCAAATAAACAAACCAACTGACAGCAGGAGGTTATGGGGTCCTGCTGATAGCTAAAAGCAGGCAATTTTTTTGGCTTGAGAAGGCACGAAAATGCGCGCGCTTTGTCAGGCTATTTAAAGTCAAGGGGACGAGTAGAAGTTCTTTAGTACATTTAATCTCTGAGAGGAAAAAAGTCGCCTTGTGAGCAAGTCTAGCAGACAAGCAAAGAAAAGTCGAAAGCGTTTTTAGGAGATGAAAATAGCTATCCTTTTTGACGTCACTCGTTCCTGATAGGTCAGTCAAAAAACGGGAAAACGCACAAAGCTTCGATTTGGTGCATGCGCGTATGAAAACAATTGGTGGTGGAATATCTAGGGCCCTGCCCACAAGTATCCGGATACTTTTGAATCTGCAAATATCTCTTTGCGGATTCAAAAACTTTCCACGCCCACACGTTCAAATTGAATTTGTCCAGCCACACTCACTCTCAGCTCGTAAGCTAATTTGAAATGTGTTTTTCCGCTGATGCGAAAGTTTTCGTGCCATTATTCTTCAATAACTTGTTTCGCTGACAGTCCCAAGCTCTAGTTGACTAGTTCGTTTGTTAAACTTGTTTTCGGTCCAATTCGTCCGTCCGCTATGGAAAAAAGCCTCAGAATGTCGAGCAGCCGGTCGGGAATAATTAAAAGTACAGTAACTCCGGCACACACGTTTATAAGACACGAAACTGAATTCCAAGAAGTATTAAAGAAGCAATTATTGCGCTTGGCACCATCACGGTAAGGAACTGGGCCCGATCTTGTTACGTCACTGGATAAGAAACTACCCGGGATTGGCGTCTACACGGTTCCGGTTTCATAGAATATTTAAAAATTTCCACTCTGGAGCGGAGATGGATTAAAAACGTTGCGGATTCATATGCCGGATTCACCGTATGGCACGTGGACGGAAGCCGAATTATTAAAAAATTTCCGTGTGCGTGTGGACGGGGCTTAGGGACCTTGGGTAGCAATTTTCCAGTGTCTGATACCTTGTCTGGAATGTTTGTTGGATCATGGAAAAATGATAAAACAAGCTGTTGACAATTCATAGCAGCAGGAGTTCATACCAGAAACAAACAGACCTGAACAAATCTTGATTTGTTTACTTTTTTCATTTCATGAAGCGTATAATTGCATAAGAAGATATCAAGCTTTATTGCATGCACGCCTCAATGCGTTATTTTAAATTTGTGATTAAACTGAAATACCTAGGATCATACTATTTCAAAACCTTAACGGTATTTGACGGGCCTACAAAACTACCTTAGGCTATGAAAGGAAGCTACATCTTTTTTGTTAATAAATTCGTCAAACTGCGACCCTTAAATTAAAGTAAGGGTTCATGTCGTTGATGCTTATGTGTTTTTTTAGTGTTTTAGGCATTAACCCCACACATTTTATTTCCAGGATTGAAAAATGGACAAGAGCCAACTGCTACGAAGTCTGATCTTCTAAAAATCGTGTCGTATGACCCCTAGTTGACTTATGTTATTTGTATTCTAAGCTTATTGTAAGAAGTGCTCAAATATATAAATAACTTTTATGTCCGTCATTGCTTATTATATGAATGAATAATTTAGCGATTCTAGATTTGACAGTTAACTGAATTTCGAATAACAAAACAAAACGGCATAAACAAGACGAGTCTCTATTTTGGAATGAACGATAGAGTTGGGATGCAATGGAAAAATGAGCTTATCCCAGTTTCTAAGATAGCTCTTTTCTGAAAGCTAAAGGAAAAATTGTTCTGATCATCAGCTTGACCGGAGAAGTACTCGAAAGTCGGATAGCTTTTCCTATTAAACTTATTGTCCAAACCGGTACAAATAAGCTATAAAGACATTATTATACTTCTATTGAAATGCAGACGAAAACTCTAAAATTCATTTCGATGCATCCCAGATTAGCTTAGCATAGCTTTAATTGAAATAATTTTCTTACCATACTCTGGAAATGGGTGGCCAAAAATCAACTCTCTCTCGTCGTCCGTTAACAAATGGTGGATTTCCTAGGCAAAGAAAAAATGGCTATTTTGTAAACATGAAATCATGAAATAGTTAAAACGGCTATCCTTTACAATATTGAAAATAAATATTTTACCTGATATGATCTAGCCCAAGAGTAGCCAATGTAAAAAATTAAGAGGATCGAAACTGTAGAAACCGCAGGCCGACTTAAACTCTTCATCGTGTAAGTCAGACCGAGCGAACGTTGTTCTTGACTGGGTTAAGTCGCAAATGATATTCCGTGAGATGGGTGCCGTTTCTTATACAGACAGGCGTAACGGTTTCTGGAACCAGCCCGCTGTGTTGTCTGAGCCAGTGTGTTCAGGTTTATTTTAGTTTCCTCGGATGGCTGAGTTCTCATTGTCTACCTCTAATTTATCTCCCAAAAAAGCGCGCATCTTTTAAACGTTTCAAAACGTTCCTGAAAATTGGCGTCGCTGCTTTAGTTCACTGTTGACTTATTGAGCTGAAACGGTCTGATGCTTCCGACGATAAACGAAAAAAAAATTTCATTGTATTTTACACAACAGGCAGTAGAGACCGTTACATAAGTCTAGTTAGTCGAGCCTTAATCCTTGTGTTAAGGAATTATTTGCATGTCTTAGTCTACGGCTGTTTGGAACATTCTTAGTGAAAAAGGATCTAGGTCACTGACCCTTTACTTTTGATCACAAAGTAAAAAAAACTTTAATTTGGTTATTCAATAGTTCAGCTCAGTGGCGGTAGTCATTCCGTTGCAATTGATCCTTTTAACCTTGACCGTCCTTAATAATTATATGGTTAACTATTTAATTGATTTTTGACGATTTTTCAAAGAGTGACACAAAAATCTTCTAAATGACTGGCCATTTATCTAAGATCTTTGGAGTGTTTGTTAAAACTGATCCGGCCTCCAATTTTTGGTAAGTTTGGTCGGTTTTCATGGTTCGGCTCCAAAGATTTGGCTACGTATCCGGCAAAACTCACGAAAACTCTGAAAACTCAAGTTTTGGTTATCGTGATGTATTGCTGAGCCTTGATTTTAAGCTCAATTTGGGCCCAAATAAGACGTAGCAGCCTTCATGGTTGTTATTTGTGTGCAAGAGACGTTGCAAGAGGGAATAAATTGTGCGTTATTGCTGGGAAGCCTGGTGTTAGGAACAGAGACAGAAAAATATCACACAATTTGTCTCTTTTCTCTCGACCCTCTTGCGTGTCTCGCTCTTCGCGTTAGAGCTCCAAAACCCGCCTGAGCTCTCCCACAACGCCAGTTGTTCAATGCTTTAGTTTTACATTGTCGCCAGTACGTCTTGAGCTAGAGAAAGGTTTTACCGCCACGCTCACGGGTAGCGCAATTAATTGATTCTAAGCAGCGACACTGGGCTTGTTTCTGGCTTAGTAGCCACTCCTCTGCTACAGCAATACACTGAGCTGTACTCAGCAGCTTTGACGACCCTCGTACTGGCTACGCTATATATCCTACGTCAACTGTCCACAACGTGAAACAGAAGATCAAATCCGAAAAGAAACGAAATTCAACAAATTTGTAAAAAAAGTATGTCATATAAACTAAGCAGCGTGTTGCGTGGCCATGAGCTAGACGTTAGAGCTGTTTGTCCTGCAGTTTTTCCTGAAGGAGGAATTATAACAGCGTCACGGGACAGAACTGCTCGCCTGTGGGTTCCTTGTGGAGACAAACTTGGTTTTGAAGAGGGCCATGTTCTTAGTGGTCACAGTAATTTTATTTCTGCTGTTTGTACGATTCCTCCCACGGACAAATTCAAGCAGGGTATGTTAATCTTGGTATATAAGTAGTTCACAAACTCCTTACATTCGTCTAGCTGAGGACATAGTTAATAATAGCATGGAATGGCTGTTAATAGTGAACAGAGGAAAAAGTTAAGCTTAGTGTTGAAAGGAATTTTAACACATCACAGGCAATTTCGTAGAAAAATGTGAGGTTCGACAAAGAATATAGAAAAAGTACTTAGTGATATTATGTTTTTTGGTGTATAATCTAACAGGAGAGGGTTTCTTTTTCCAATATGGCTAAATACATTAGACAGGACAGAGTGAAACCTGGGTGATTTTCTACTGACATTGTTATAGAAATTATGTATGATTAGGAAAGGTAAGCTTAGTGATAGGTAGAGTATTAAGTGATGGATGGGTAAAGTTTCCTCTGGAAAAAGGTTCTATGTTTGAGTACCCTTGGTTAATGAATTATGATCAGGGCTGTCACTTAGTTAGGGTGAGAGGCTGGAAATTTCCCCTGGCTTCTACAGTTGTATGGCATGCTCTCCCCCCCCACTACTTTAATAGGAAACAAAAGGAAAACAGAACAAACACAACTTCATAGCTGTTCAATTCCACACCGCAATTTTTTTTACCTGGCCGAGTTTATTACAAAATGAAAACAAAATACCAACATGCCCATACATCGCATGTCATTGAAAACATTTCAAACTGCTCAATGAATCATTCTAAGTTTCAATCTGGTAGCAAAAAGCCTTGGGAAATTTCAAAGGAAGTTCAAATGATTAAACTGCACAAACATTCATCTACAAAGTGAAACTGAATCAACAGCAATTTTGTCACTGGACTGGTAAGAGAAATGATCATTCTGATTTTCCTCCTAAATATGACTTGAGGGTGAGAGATCGTCGTTCGACACTTCACAGATTTCAGCCAAAGATGAAAGTCGTCAATTGCATGCAGTCTACGTGTAAAATTTTACACACAGTTTCCAAAATTTTTTGTGTATTTATTTTACATGCCTGTTCCGTGCTTGTATTACTTGTGTAATTTCCATGCAATATGGCGGATTTACAGGCAAGAAACATGCATGTAATGCTGCAATTCCCGTGGCCTGTGCTGTACTTATTGTATGCATGTATACCCCGCACCTTGAAATCTTAGTGAGGGCCCTGATGATAGAACATCATTTTGATGTTATAAGAAAAATTGTAAGCAACATTGCAGAGAATTTTGATAAAAATAATAATTTAATACTTATTTGTCCAAGTTGATAGGTGGATATGATCAAACTTACAACTGAAGGGGTTATGGAAAACCTTCATGCTCACCATATCTACTACGGCATAATAATTATAAAACCTGCCCATACTGTGTCAATGAATAACCCCAATCACCAACAACCTTAGTGCTATCTTAAACAGTCATAAAAAATTGAAACAATCATTCCATGGTCCATCAATAGAGAATTTAAGATACCACAACAGTGACAGTGGCAAGAATGTCTCTTAAAAATGACTTCGTGCTCTTTGAAACTTCAGTGTGATTATCCCAACTTGCTCATTTTGTGAAGTGTAGGCAAACTCTCCTGGAGTTGAATTCTCAAGGAAATATGCAAGTTCAAAATGAGAAAGAGAAATTTTTTGTTGTTTGTTTATTGCTTTTAGGATGTTTCCTCTGCTGTCGCCTTTGCGAGATCTTAAAATCCCTAACAACAAGTGATTCTTGTGCCACTTACCAAAAAACAAACCCTTTAATCCCCACGTGTTTTTACTGTGGTTCTGTTTACCATCTTGCATTGTGTAACCCTACATGAACTAAATAAATTATTTTCCCAGGGCTCATAGTTACTGGTGGTCATGACAATCTTATTCTTGTGTGGACTTTGGATACTCTTGGTAAGTTTTATAAAAAAGTTGTTTGTTTGTTTGCCAAAGTTCACTCAATTAAGGCAGGAGTAGTTTACCCTGAACTGTGATGCACCCCTCCCCCCAAGGGTACTCCCTTATTTGGCCATGGTGGTTATGTGACACTAAACAGGGTACATTGTATGGTTATGAGTCTTAAACAGGGTACACAGTCTCTGCGCACACTATTAATTTTTGTGTCTTGGACACAGAGTGTTTTTGAACTGGAGGCCTTATAAAGAGTGTGAAGGTTGGCATTGTGGGATCTAAATGAGTGGTAGCCACAATATATTGCAAAAAGACTCTCAATTCCATGATGTTAGTGCAAAATGAAATGAATCAGACTTTTGAAAGTAGGTCTCTTGTCTTAGACAGGGTAGCGTCACAGGATACAACCTCAGGGACTGCTGCACTTTTGGATTTTTCTTTCTGTTGTAGGTAAAATCTGTTCTCATGTTAAATGATTATGGCTTAAGGCTAGGAAGCAGTGAAAATTCCTAATGAAATTAGGCTCATTATTGGCTTAGCCTGAAAACAGCTTTTACCTACAACATGCCCTACAGTAACCCCCAAAATCCCAAAGTTTGATTTCGACCCATGTCTCTTTTGCAACCCCAAATTTTAGATAGAAAAATTCTTTGGGGCTTCTTAAGGATATTACTCAGTGTTATCCCCTGGGAACGTCACAACAGTTATTACAGTGGAACCCCGCCTTATGATCACCCTGTTAATACCACCACCTCGTTATCGTGACCATATTCTTTCGACCCTAACTTTAGAAACACTGGTCATTTTATTATTTTGAAGATACGGTTGATTATTACAACCAAGTTTTTATTCCCAACAGTGGTCACATCAACAGAATTGCACTGCATATTAAAGCATATTTACACTACCTGACAATGTGTTGTCCAAAATGGCTTACAAGAAAAGAAGGAAATGGAAAATATTTAAATTTGATAACTACAATGCTTCTGATGTCTGTTTAAAGAATAAAGGTGCTTGCAGTCCACTTTGTTCAAATCATTAAAAGTCTAAAGATATATTTGTCACATAAAATATTCCAGTTCTAAATGGTTGATAAACAGCAAAATTAAGAGATTATTATGCAAGCTGCTGAAATAATTTTAAAAATGGATTGGTGTGTTTACTCATTTTATCTCACTTCCATAAAAAACCAGCTCCAAAAGTCTCACTAAAAGGCTGGTTATTAATGTAAGAAAACATCTTTCATTCCTGCAGAACCAGTACACAGATTAGAAGGTCACACCGGAGCTGTTTGTTCCTTGATTGCAGGAAAGTTTGGGACACTTCTTTCTGGATCTTGGGACAAGTAGGAAATAAGACTTTTTTTCACAATCTTAAGCTAATTTACACAGTAGTCTTGTTCTTTGCTTAGTTTTCCACAAAATTTTTAGTCTAAAATGTGAGCCATCTCCACCCCTAACCCATTAAGAGCACCCCCTATGGGTTAGGGGGCAGAGACAGCTGACATTTCAGACTACATATAATTATGGTTTGCTCCTTTGTTCTTTAGGATAAGGTGATTTTCAAAGAGTTGATAGTATTATGTACTGATAATAATTTTCAGATGGATACGGTAATATCATTTGAGGACAAGTGTAAAAAATCATATACTGTCAGTACTGTATGTTAACAGAGAGACCATGCTTTTATGAGTAACATGCATTTTTTTTCTCAAGCAAGGAGTTTCCTTGTTAATAGGAATTAAGAAGGACATGCTGGCTTGTACATGTATATATTCCGCTGAGCATTCATGTTGCATTTATTTTATTTTTTATTTATTTCATACTGCAACATGGTTTCTTGAGAATTACATGTAGTATGACTGTAAAGTCTCCAGGCCCTTATTTGACTGTATCCCTTCTTACTTTGCATGTTTATTTTACAGAACAGCGTGTGTGTGGATAGGAAGCAAGTGTATGATGAAACTTCAAGGTCATGAAGCTGCCGTTTGGGCTGTTCAAATGATGCCAGAGCATGGCCTGATGCTTACAGGTACATTGTACTCACCACAGCAGTATCAGTGCTTGACAAACCTTAGTATCGTCGATGTACAGTAGGCACTGTTCACATGGCAGTAGATGCATTTGCCTTATTTTATTAACAAAGAAATTTTCTTGACCTACATGATAATATGTGAAGTCACCCTTTGGGAGGTCTGAACAAAAAAGGTTGAAGAGTTAAGCAAAAAAGGTTTCAACTGAGGTGTTCTCTTATGAAAGACAGCAGATTGAGGTTTTGACTGCAAATTTGTTTTTCTTTGCCAGGTTCTGCTGATAAGACAATAAAAATGTGGAAAGCTGGAACATGTCAGAGAACCTTCACTGGACACACAGACTGTGTTAGAAGCCTGGCTATACTCTCTGCTGTTGAGTTCTTATCATCTTCTAATGATAGGTACATGTACATTTAGCTTACATTTTTCAAGTATAGTATAAGCCAACCCTAAGTCAGCCAGCTAAAATTTGTCGTATTGCAAATTGTTTTTTACATGATTTAACATCCTTATGACCAGATTCCCTGAAAACTAGCTGGTTACTTGTTATATACAGATGATCAATGTCCAACTGGGTTCAAACTGCCATCTACAACTGTATTTTGTCATGATTTTCTCTGCAGTAGTTATGAGAATTGGATTACCCCGTCAGCTACTTCAGCAGCTACATGTCATAAGAGTCTCTCAAACTCCTTTGTTGAGATGCTGGTTATAGGTTTTGAGGTGTTTAACTATAAGTTGAAACTCAACACCCGAGCCTGAATTCTTGAAACCTTAAAGGAATCATTTTTATGGGTGATGTTGTGAGTTAGCTGGGTAGTCTCTCAATTTTCCCTAAACTAGTACTGGGACATAGTCAAACATGTACACAATAAATTTGTGTTAACATGGTTGTAGATATCATACAGATAATTGTCCACTTGCTGGCTGTCCACTGTAAATGATATTATTAATTTTCTAATAATTGCATGTAGCACCATTCGAAGATGGATGAGCACGGGAGAATGTCTTCAAGTGTATACAGGGCATACTAGCTTTATTTACAGGTATGAGACGGGTTACACACTATTTTAGCTAACTTCCTACTAGAAATTGGTAAGCAAAATGTTGTGATCAGACATATCAAGGTCAGTCTTGAGCCATCTCACTCTTCAGGTTATTAGTACAGAGCAAGGTCATCTATTGACTGTTCGATATCTCCTTTTCAAACAGACTGTGGTGTTAGTGTTTACACCCGGTGGACTTGAAGTTAAAGGAAGTTAAAGCCCCGTCATCACATTGATCATTTGCTCAGACAAAAAACTTTGGTCTACTTTGTTCCTTTTCAGCCTGAGTTGTATAAATCGCCACCGGCGTTATACGTCTATGGGTGGATGGCACTCCATCCAGGGATGAAGTAGCAATACGTCTAAGTGCTTCGTGCTACTGAAACAGTGATAAGCTCAGGTTCACTTGTGTAAGTTTTGAGAAAATTTTGACGGGGAGCCGACAGCACGAGCTCGCAAGAAGAATGTGGCTTCTCCTCTCGCTGGTGCTCCACTGCCAAAATGTTCTCTGAACTGACATAAGTGAGCATGCATGCAGGCAAAGATAAGCTGTGGCCTTACTGGCCCCAATAAAACCTTTACCTATCTTTACATGATTATATTTCACGTGTTTTGTGTCTTCTTTCATTAGTATTGCAGCTCTTCCTGATGAAGGTGGCAATTTTGTTTCTGTTGGAGAAGACAGGACATTACGAATATGGAAAGGTATAATTATCATCCTCAGTTGTAATTTGTGTTTCACTGTAAAGTCAGACATGAACAATCCTTTGATTGGATTAAGATTTCGATTTCGATTCGTCAATTTTTGGCCTGGTAACCGCAATAGGGTGAAGACAGGTACTGCAGCCCTGTGAAAGCTTGATCACACCGTCGGGGTCTCTACGCTTACATCGGATTACTTAGCATCCAATGATGCGATCGTCAGAAGTATCATGTTTCCACCTTTTTTATAGGCGTAGTAGCAGGCGTTTCTTGAGGAATACCATTCTTACCATGCTAGTTTTTGTAAGACCCTGGTTTTGCTGGTGTTTGAACCTGCGACCTCCCGCTCAGCAGACGGGCGAGCGCTCTTCCAACCGAGCATTACATCACGGTACATTAGTACATTGTTCATCCAATCAAAGCTCATCATGCCTTCACTTCATTCCTTAACTGTTTGCTGTTATTTTTACAAAATTGTATGTTATTATCTTCAGATGGAAATTGTTCCCAAGTAATCAGATTACCAGCGCAGTCAGTGTGGAGTGTAACATGTTTAAATAACGGAGATATTGTTACTGGATCAAGGTAAGATTCATTACCACCTTCTCACGTTGCAACAGTCTCCAATCTCACAGAATATTCATTTTGTAAGACCAAAAAGAAAGGTTTCTTCCCCGGCTTTCTCAGTCTGCAAACACCCTAATGTCCTGTTACACTAATCACTTTTTCATGCAACTGACTTGTCTCGCAACTTTGTGCGAGACGTTCCAGGGACACCCAACGACGGTTTCCTCCTAAATATATTGAAAACACTTTTGAGGCTCTCAAGAGCACTTTTAGATCTCTAGACATGTATTCTTAGAGGCGCTATAAAATTTGTATCTGTTCGGTCATCCTAGAGCAACTTGAGTCTTTTCGAAATTACAAGGGCTTCGTTATTATTTTTCCGAAAATTTTAGATGCAATTTCATGTATTATACGAAAGTGAGAATTTTTTTGTTTCCTCTCTCCATCACATTTTTGAATCCGAAAATTTTAGGCTGCCTTTTTTCCACGAACAAAGCCTGACCTGGGGAGTGAAATGTGAAAAATTAAATCTTAGAAAATCTTAGGCAAATTTATTATAGATAAGCTTCGAAAACTGTACATAAATGAAACGGTCATCTAGAAATTTTTAGCCGTCCTCAAGCTACAGAAAATTCTAGGCAATCTTTACTTCTCCGAACAAATATTTTAAAGACAACAATCGTTGGGTGCCCTTGACGCAACGTTAAATGCAACCGGATAAAACAAATGCTGCAGTATTTCCTCAATTGTTGAGGAAGTAGTACTTGTTTCTACTTTGCGCTATACTAGCTGTAACTTGTGTCACAACAAAATTGTAAGACAAGTCTGAGGCAAAGATGCTTTGTGTGACAGGACATTCAAGTGTAGCCCGTGATTATTTCCTACCCCTCTATTTCACAAAATGACATCTTACGCATGAAATTTTCAGATTTTTACCTGTGTTTTCACAACTGTTGTGAAATTTGACATTTATTTTCTCGGGCTCTCATGAGAAATAGTCTTTGGTGTTATTACAGATAATAAATTATATCTAAGCCTTGAAAAATGTAACAAAGAATGCAGTATTGTTTTTGGCGGTATTAGGTTTTTGTCCACTGAAAGTTGAAATTACTCAATTTTCTGATGGATTCCGTCTTAATTTTGTTGTAGTGATGGTATTGCTCGTGTTTTCACTGCCTCTGCAGAAAGAGTGGCATCTGATGAGGAACTTCAGGTCTGTCTATGCTCCTCCGTCCCTTCACGTAAATTTTCTTTTTGAAATCTTAAACGCAAATTTGCGCCGTGTTGATTCATTGATTCAGGCCGCTACGACACATGTGCGTTTTTTTCTTTCTCATTTTTTAAGTCATGTGCAAAATTTTGTTTGAATTCACAAAAGAGGAAAAGGGCATTTCTTAAAGGAAGAATTCCTCATTATTGTATGAGTATAATTGTTAATGAGTTAAAAAAAAATTGAGTCCAGCGAATCCTCCAGTGGGATAGAAGGTCCTTTACTAAGTTCATATGTGACGCGAGTCCTGTCCCGTCAGTGTCGAAAGTACGGTTTAGTACATGTAAGTAGGGACAGGATTGCTTAATTTACGTTTCATAGTTTTGGTATGTTTATCATTGCACACCCCGCCTGGAAACCAGCTTTTGTAGTGCGTGGTTAGCGTTGTAAAATAAATGTGTTGACTTGTTGACTTGTACCAGCGTATGAGAATGAAAATCTGAGCCTCCCATTAGAATGCTTGAAAAAGGTGACTTAGCCTGGTCTTTTAATGATTTTTTTGTTTATGTCTGGTCATAGTTGTTTGATGCTGAAGTTGCAAGCCACGCTATTCCAGCAGAAGCAGCCAGGTAAAGAACTTTCCATCAAGAAAACTCGTTTAAGTTTTAAACACGATCGTACTTCAGTTAGTTACTGCAGGTTTTTCTTTGTTCCCTCCGGTTTGCTGAGCGAAGAAATGCGGAGGACATAGAAATTATCAAGCCTACAATATTGTCCATTTCCCTTCGATGAATAGCATGTGGTCAGCCGCCCATCTCCTCCTATTTTATTTGAGGAGACGGGGAGCCCCAGGGGCAACTCCCTTATATTACATATACGGGGATGTGCCGCTGGACAGGGTTTGGTTTTTGTCCTCTCTGTCCTAAACAGGGTATATAATTTCGTGCCGGGGGAGTCTGTCATCAGGGTATTGTCTGCACGATTAATTGATTTGATTTGAACAAAAGCGATGACTGTAAGGTGAATTTGCTCCATTGCAATTGCCAGTAAATTGCTTTAGAACAAGATGGCGTGCATCTTGTCCTTTTTCATAAACAGGGTAATAAATTGAGGGTGTTGTCCTAAACAGGGTATGTGTTTTAGAGGATTTTTTTTGAAAGGAGATGAGACAGTTTTCACAAGAACCACACATTAAATTTCATTCCACTTGACATGACCGCTATCCAACACAAACACAAAGAGAACATCAATCATAATTTATCACTTACTTATTTCTTTGGATTTGTTCTTCAAGTATTCAGTTGATTCTAACAGTAAATATTTGTGGTTTTTGTTTTAGTGGCCAGCTGGGTGATGTTAAACTCGAAGATCTTCCTGGACCAGAAGCTCTCCTTAGGCCAGGTGAACGTCAAGCGAAACTTAAAAAAAATTTCATTCTGCTTACAGGCGTCTTTCTTGTAGAATTAATTTCGTCTCTGTGCCACATGTAAGCATTGAAACTAATATGAAGAACATTTCTGTGCTGGTTTTATACCTTACACGCGAGTTTAGCATAAACCCAGTAATGGTTTCGTGGCAATCAAGAGATAGATTTATGGTTTTTTTCCTTAAACGGCCGTCACATTATTTTGTTGGAGGTTCAATGTTAAATCAACTTTTAATAATGTAGACAGTATGTTGGTCTTTAGCAGAAAAACAAGGTCATTTGGTATAACCTTTCAAAGTTTTGTCAATCTCTTATGAACCGTTTCTTCTTGTGATTATCTTAGGGAACAACAGTGGTCAAACAAAACTGATCAGAAGGGGAAATATCATTGAATGTCATCAGGTGAGAACTCATTTGACTACACGATGGTAACTTAAACACATGAAAACCGTTCATTACTCAACTGTGATGGTCTAAAAAGGTTACTGTAACAAGAAATGTCTTGCTGCATGGGTGGCAGCCTGCGAAAGAGCGGTAGAAGGGAGGGAGGTGCCTTCCTTCTATCCCTAATCCCCTCCTTTTTTTTCGCTTGCTTTATTTTTCGCCCCTGCTCCACTATCTGAACGCATGGAACATTCTACATTGGTAGGGAGCGCAGCTCATAATTTTGTCAACTGAATTAATGAGATGAGTTCGCTGGTTTATGTGTTCCATGCCGGCCAGCATAAACATGAGTATAAACACTTGTGCACTGATAGAGAATCACCTTGTGCGTATGCTAGTACATCTTATTTCAAAATGCTGGTAAATTTTGTCATTGTCAGTTTTGTCTGTGTGATAATTTGTCGTGAATGCTTCTATTCAAGTAAAGAGTTCTTTGAAATCTCCAAATGTAATGTAATGTAATGCAAAGAGGGCTAATTAACACCAAAAGATTAGCATGCAAAGTCAGAGATAGGTATCTAAATGCCTTGATAGTTCCATTTTGGTCACTGTAAAAGAAAATTGATAGCATTCCTTAACTAAGTAGTGAAATCATTGCCGAGTCTTCTTTACGATAATAACGGTTTCAAAACTTTCTTTTGCAGTGGAATGGTATGGAATCAAAATGGGACAAGGTAACGCTTTCACAGTTTGCATCTGGTCGTTTTTCCCGAAAGGCAAATAAACTAAGATGTCATACAGAGTTGAAAATAATTACTTGTAATTAAAAGATGCCCACAGTAAGCATTTGTAAATTACTTACTTTTAATTTTTCCTTTGGGTTATTTTTGTCTGATTTTCAGATCGGCGAAGTAGTTGGATCCGCGGGAACAGAGGGCGCTGCTAGGCAAACCCAAAAGCAAATGTATAACGGAAAGGTACCTTTGTCTACTGCTAAGCTGAGATACTACTGACTCAGAAGTGCTTTTTACTCTCGCGTACCACGTGTAAAAAATTAAAAAAAATTCAAGAACAGTCCAAATTCCATTCTGTAATATATGTGTTTTAGAGGTTACTTTTGAATGGTCAAACCGCAGGAGTTTGCAACATGTATTCTTTTGTAATTGATCATGAGAAAGAGATGAAAATTCAGCTGTAAAATGCGGTTATGTTACGGGGGCTAGGGCCCTGTTCGAGCAAATATGAGAAGATAAGGCAAATGGTTCTCTGCGGATTCAAAAATTTTCACGTCCACACGTATCCCTGTTCAAATCGAATTTGCCAGTCCACACGTATCCGACACGTAACCGAATTCATTCTACTACCCAGGACTCCTTTGGGAATATTGGCAACAGAGCATGTGTCGTAAAGTGCGCGAAATTTGCGTCTAGAATAATGGCAGAATCAGTCCAAAATCAAAGTAAAATGCGAAGAGCAAGGTTGACTTCTCGACGGGTAAGAGTGAGAATCTGGGAACGGGGTTGCCATCTTGAATACAGTATTGACGGTAGAGAACTGGACTCCATCTTGTTATGTCACCGGATGAAAAAATATCCGGATTTAGCGTCCACTCGATTCCGGACTCATAGCGTATTCAAAAATTTCTACTCTGGAGAGCGAATTCAAAAAGTTGCAGATTGGTATGCCGAATTCACCGGTTACAAGTAGACGGGGCCAAAGAAACAACATGTGCAGTAAAACAAGGCACCCATCAGGCTGTAGTGAATAACATGGACGCAAGAAGCGGGCGTTATGTGAATGAACGCGTGATCAAGGGAACTTCACTACTAAAGCACTTCATTTTAACCCCCGCTTAAGCGGACGCGGGCACCCTTTTTACGGTTTAGATCCTAAAATAACGTTCCTTAAGTGGGCATTAAAACAAATCAGGACTAAAATCCACTGTAAAAAAATTCCATATCTTCTTTTTTTAAACACAAAATGAATTGTAGGAAGGGAATAGCACAATAAGTGTAAATGATAAGATTTGCTTTCCGGTTCCTTGTAGTGCGTGAGGTTTATCTAGACTCCTCCTCCTTGTCCTGAAGATGTCCGCTAGCGAGTTTGTGTTTTTTTTTTTCAGGAATACGATTTTGTGTTTGACGTTGAAATACAAGAAGGGGCTCCTCGTATGAAGCTACCTTATAATTTGACTGGTATGTAACAGATGTGCTTTTTATTTGTCACCCTTTTGTGAAGTACCCTTGAAAATGACGTTGTGGAGGTGTATGTGGTCGAATGTTTTAACACCTCGACCTCTGGATCTGGATGTCCGGGGTTCAAACCTCACCCGTCACGTTGCTTCCTTAGACAAGAAACTTTACTCCACTTTGTTTCTCTTCAGCCAGGTGTATAAATGGATACTGGCGACATACTGCTGGGGGGTAACCCTGCGATGGACTAGCATCCCTTCACACACACACTTTATTATTATTAACAATCTACTTTTACATAAAGTCCATTTCCGCCCGCAAATAGCAGGGGAGAGTAGCAATATTCTTAGGCTTGCTTCTTGCTATGGAAACCGGGATAAGCCCCGGCTGTTTGGGCCTTTGGCTCGTGCGCCCCTTTACCTATTTTTACTTTGGAAGTGACGTTAACCTGGCAGTTTTCCTTTATTTGTGTTTTAAAGATGATCCGTGGATGGCGGCTCATCAGTTTTTAGAGCGGAATGACCTGAGTCAGATGTTCTTAGATCAGGTGGTTGACTTTATTTTAAAGAACACTAAAGGAGTCACAATAGGACAACAGACACCAACGGCAGGAGATCCCTTCACTGGTATGAAACTACTAACCCCTCGGCCTCCCCTTTGGGATGTGCTGTTAGTTCTGCGCATGTTTCTATCCTCCGAGCTGAAAATAGAGAGCTTAGGCAACGACGACGGCTACGGCAGCGAAAACGCCAGTATTTAAAAGTCTTCGCGTTTTTTCCGCGATATTTTCAACTCGCTTAAAATGTTAAATACAGGTTAATTTCGCTGTTATTGAATTTTTGTAGTCGTGCAGTGACTGCAAAGAAATGTACAAAAAAAGTATGCTGCACGTGTAGAGTTGTTGTTTTGCCGTTATTGTCATCAAATGATAGTCAGTCTTCGGACTTCTCTGCGAATCTTGGGCTCAATTTCGAGACATTTAATGCATCCTTGATTGAATCCGACCGCATTTCTGTTTTGTCTGATCAAAATTATGACTTGGCCAGACTTTTTTAGCCAAATTTCTTTCTGGAAGTCTGCATCCTCTGTGCTTGATAGGCTACTAATTGGTAGAACTCCATCTAACTGTATAATAACTTCTTTTTGTCCGAAATAGCGAGCAAAATTTTTTCTTCGGATATTGTTTCAGGAGCTGGGCGCTATATTCCAGCGACTGCACCATCACAAGCTCCAGTTAGTAATTTCAGTGTGGGTGGAGGAGCAGTTGATCCTTTTACAGGTAAAATACGCACCATACCCTGTTTGTACTATGTGAACTCCTGGAGCAGGCTAACCACACTGGGCTCTGAATAACAGTTTTGACGCTACTAACCAAACTGTTTTATATCGTGTTGGGTGGAATCCCTGCCACTACCCGTATCAGTGACTCCAGTATATTTAACAATTATTCCACGAGTGCGCGTTGGATATGAGATGGTAGATAATTGTTTTATTAAAAACGCCCACGAAAATCGAGAATTCCTCTCAACTTTATTTTTAAAAACGCGTACAGTTACCATATTTGGAGAACATGGTGTAATGGCTCATATACCATGATGGCTAAGCCAATCAGAGCTCTAGAATTGCATTATCCAATGGTCCAGTGTTTAATAAAATTTGTTTGTTAGAGCACATACTTGTACACGCTGTGTAAAGGTATAGAATCCAGTTTTGACATTGTAGATATATTACTCACTTTTTCCCCAACATGTTAGGTGGTGGCAGCTATAGACCTTCCTATTCAACTCAACAGACCAACGTGGGAGGAGTGGACCCATTTACAGGTATCACATGTGATCAGTGTACCAAGCCCCTGCTTATCTTTTGGAGGTCATCTTTTGAAGCAATAACATAGTGAATAAATGTCAAAAGTCACTTTGGGGTAACAACTGTGACTTTTGTGATTTCAAAACAAAACAAAACACAAGGAAAGTGACTTTCCTTTTTGTTGTTAATTTTTTGTGTCGCTGCTGTTTCACTCCCTCCATAATCGTGACTCGTACACAAGTGTATTTTCGCGAGATGTAGACATCTTGCTCTTTCACAGCTACAAGTGTTTTATGAAGATAAGGAAATCACAAGAAAATACTTTTTTGAAGTAAACTGCCACCAGAAATGGATGTATTCATAGTAGCTGAAAAGATTAACAACAGTCATTTAAGGCGCTTCATTTGTATTTATTTAATTGTTTAATTCTCTGTTAGGTGCTAGTAGTTACAGATCAGGCCAAGCTGGGAATCAACTCAGTTCACCGAGTAAAAGTTCTACCGTGTCTCAGAACCCTTACTTTCCCAAGGTAATTTATATCTAGATGCTTTAAAAAGTTTTGCTTGGAAGAGCGTCCCACCTTGTGTTTCTTTCTCTTGCAGACGTCTTTTATATCATTTGATAATGCTAACGTTGCTGCTATCGCTGGAAAATTAAAAGAATTCAACGATAGTTTACAAGAGGTATGGTTGGTGTGTTTACTATGATGAATGGATACGCCTTTCAACTTTGCTGACAATATAATTGCCACAAAGTATTTTAATGATCAGGGATCCTCTACTTTTAGCAAGTGGAGCAATGTTAAAAGCCTCAGTTGTGCCATGAATCGTGGTGTCGATCCACCGACTGTTTCCCTGTTTTTGCGTGTATTCTGCTGATTTAGTACTGATTTCTGTACAGTGTGTACCGAAACGCATGAGACTTGAAGTTGCCACCGTTGTATGCTGCCATTTTGAGCTTTTGATCCTTAAAAGAAAACGGTATTTGATATTGAATTGAAAACGATAAAATGTAGCCGATCCAAAATTGTTGTCATAATTTTCTGAAGTATTGTTTTTTTTTTATCTTTCTTCGTAGGATCCTCTTCAGTTAGGAGACGATGAACTAAAGAACTTGATGGGTAAGGAAAAAAGTCTTATTCTAAGCACAAGTTTTGGCAACTTGAAAACTAGTCAACAATCAGTGTTTGTGTAATAAAGTTAATGAAGTCTGCGGTTGGAGAAAACAATTGAAAAAATTTGTTAGCTCAAAAAGTGTTCGAACCCAGGACGTTCGGTGACTATTCCAGCACTATACTCTGGCCGGGTCTAAAGTACAGGTCACATTCCACAGACCCCAGTTGTTGAAAAGATGGATAATGCTGTATGTATGACCTCTGTCGGTCGGTCTCGCGCTTATGGTTTTACTTATCTCTCCTCGTCTCACCCCTTTCTGTTGAAGTCTTAAAAAGTCCTGTTATCGCTCAAACCTTGTTGAACATGTCTTTGTTCATTGTAGAATTTCTGGAAGACGTGGCAAACGTGGATAAATCTAGGTCACCAAAAGTCGAACATCTTCCGTCTCTGATTAAAACACTGAAATGGCCACTAAAAGTGCTTTTTCCAGGTAAAGTACATCGAGAAGAATTGTTTAAATTGTTCTGGTGGTGATTTTACGCTTACAAGGAGCTGCTAAGAAGTTTACAAACATTTCTTTATCTTTCTGAACAGCTTTAGATGTTCTACGTTTGGCTGTACGATTTCCATCCATTACCAAACTTTGCTGTAGTGAATCTGAAGGAGACAATCTCGCGGCTAAGCTACTTTCTTGTACAAGGTAACTAAAGAAGATCTTCGTGGGCGTAAGAGGAATACGAATAACGCATTTCCCCAACCCCCCCCCCCCACCCCCCAGAAGCAGGTGGAAACACAAGAGAGAACTTGGAAGAAGTTTCAAACACTGTGAGATCGAATCACCATCAGTCTCTTCACGATGTTTCCATCTTGAAGAGACGATCACTTCCAGATGTTGCTATCATTTCTTTTCAGCTACATAATTCTTTCGCTTTATCTTTTCCCCCGCTTTGCATCGTTTGCATGTTTTTGCTCACGTATTTTACTTGTTCTGTCTAGTGACACCTTTATTTGTTTCTTACAGAGACGACAATCCTCAAGCGAACGTGCTTCTGTCATTTCGAATATTCTCTAATTTTTTTTTGAGCGATGAAGGCTCGGCTTTAGCAATGAGACACAGAGAGAAAGTGAGTACCATAAACTCAAAAAATATTTCAATTAAAAAAAATTAAAAAGATCTTGGATTGAATAATCCCAGATTATGAGTCGGCCGTTGTTCATTAATTTAGTTATTCAGTAATTCCTAGTCCGAAGTCTCATTCGTCTCCTCGACCCAGCTGCTGTAGGTGCGGCCGTAGGAGAGACTCTCCCGTCCCTCGCCAGGCCGGCCATTGGAAGCAGGGGGGCCAAGGGGAGGGGGAAGGAAGGGGACTACAGTGCTTCTCCGTGCCATACAAATACTGGCGGGGGTGGAGGGGCTGGTTGAGGAGAGGAATACAGTACTTCTCCGTGCCATACAAAATACTGGGGGGGGCTGGGTGGAGAGAGGACTACAGTGCTTCTCCATGCCATACAAAATACTTTTATTATTTACATCTCAGTTGATGCGTGCGTGTGGGTGCAACTCGTAAATTGAAAATTGAAACTTGATTGAAAGTTTACCGTCTTCTTATCTTTTGCTGTCTTTCGTCTAATTCATGATCTACCTGATCTCGTTCGCTTTTTTCTGTTTCTATAGATTGTGGAACACTTAATACCTTGGTGTAAATGCTCAAACAAGAACATAAGAATATCCTTATGCACTGTTCTTCTAAAGTAAGTTCCAGCAATGACATGAGTTTACTGAGACATGGAAATTGCCGCTTTGAATGCTTGTTGCCGTCAATATAAAAACCGACTAAGGACGAATGTGAAATATCTACTGAATTTTTGCCTTTTTAATTCTGCCTGGTATTACGGCCTTGTTTTAGAAAGGAGTCGGCGACAATCAATCATGCAGAAACGTTTAGTTAAGCCAGAATTGATTTTCTTAGCGCCTTTGTTTGTTTGTTTGTTTTTTTTCAGTTTCTCCGTCCTTCTTCGAAAGCATCCCGACTTTGAAGCTAAAACACAATGTCTGTCAGCTCTAGCGGGCGTAAGTGCAGTACAGTTTGTTGTCCATTATTGTTCTCAACATCATCGTTATCAATTGAAAAAGACTGATATAATTATGATAATGATATTTTGCAGATCTTGGAAAGTGATACAGATAATGAAGCTAGATTCAGATCTCTAGTTGCGGTCGGGACTTTGGTGAGTGTTTGTAGACTGTGACTAGTGAAGCTTCAAGCTGCACTGATTGTGCTTGATTGAAGTCTTAGCGGTTTCTGGTTGTTGCAATCTAAAAGATATTTAGACCTAATTTCACCTGGTAAACACTTGCCAATGGCAAGCAAATTTACTAGTTTGAGAATGATGTTTTGTCAGTCAGTACAACATGCGAAAAAAAGTATAAAACTATAAGAACGTAGTCTGGGGTCATGCTCATAGTAGCCAGGGGAAATCCCCGGCCCCGGGGCCCTTGGTGACAGCCCTGCCGGCTTACATGCGGCGACCAGTATTAGTTAATCCTATGATGTTCTGGTTATTTGTCCAGATGCGTTACCACTGAGCTATAGGAGTCTCGTGGAAGTTTAGCCCATTGAACTAGGTTCATGCCACTAACATTTTACATCCTGCGGCTAGGACTGAAATATCAGTAGGTGGTATGTGCGCAGTGATAGACATTTGATGGTGTATGTCTGGACATGTTGAATTGCGTTACGCCGTTGTTTCAACAAGGTCGGACCAATCATGGTGACCGTCTCATGTAGGAGAAGTGACAGCGGCCTTGAGCCAGTGAACAGATGAATACACAGTAGCGTCGACTCGTATGATATACAGAATATATATTTTAAAGCACGGTTTTGTTTTCTCCTTTTTGCCCTGCGGGTCTTTCGCGCATGTCTCAGTTAGCCTAAAGGAAACGGAAAGGACTGCTACGCAGGCTAGCAAAGCGACCAAGAATCGAACTCACGACCATTGGAGCTTTGTATGGGTTTGTACTTGGGCAGTGTATATGTTACAAGCTTTTATTTGTCTTGCAATGGAAAAGCAAATGCAATTCATTAAATCAGCACTTCAGCATTGTTTAGTAATAACTAATTAAAATGATTTTATTTGCAGATCTGGGGCGATTCAGATGCCCTGTCTTTAGCTCAATCATTAGGAATTCAAAGTTCATTGAAATCTCTCACTAGTATTACGGATCCTCCTAAGGTAATATTGCAAATGATATCTTCTTACACGTACTTGTATATTTAGCCAAATGCGGAGCCTGAAACGAGGAAAGGATATCGCGTGTGTGGTACATGTACAGTTTGTTGATTGCCATCCTGAATTTAACGGAGCGCCCGGCAACCGGTTGGAAAGGGTAGAACGATAGACTATTTGCTGGCCTTTTTTGTGCTTTTCTCTGGGTTCGCTTTGTCCAGACGCCGTTGACCACGCATAGATCGCTTTCCAGTGGTTTTAAACAATGTCTGAGATAAATCCAATGAGTAGTGAGAGCCAGGTAGTTACATCTCTGGCTGCTGACCATTCCAAAAAATTACATCAAGAGTATTTGTTGTTTTACGTTTTCTTTAACAGGTTGGAGAATGTGCTTCTAAAGTGTTAGCCGCCTTGGAGGATTAAAATACCAGCTTTTGAGACGTCAGCATGTGGTTACCTTACGAATGCAAGAGATCGCGGCAACGATTTTAGGAAGAATAATTCAGTTGATGCTTAAAGATTTGCAGTTTATTCAAATCGACTGCTCCTTGTGTCAGACGTGTTTAGCATTTTTATGCATTCTTATCTTAGTTCGTTTGTTAAGGCGAACTGCCAGTTTACACTCAGCTAATGAAATACTTGTATGTTGGCTTATAAAACAAGGAGCAATAAAAAAATCGGGGAAACAGCTTCGCTGGGACGTTAACTATGAAATGCAATGTTGCTAACGAAAAAATTGTAAAACCTGCGTTGCCTAGTCTACTGTGGAGTCACTGTATTGCTTTGTTTAAGGCCCGTGGTTGTTCAAATTCGTCAGTTGGATATGGCTTTGAGAATATGTTACGTTGGCCAAAAAATCCACACACTCTGTGATTTCTTTTCTATATACCGTCCATAATGTAACTATTTTTAACTATTGTCTTAAGAGAACTGACTTCCAGTTAAAACAAGATCTTTAAACATAGCTTATCAGTCGTTTTCACTTTCTATCCTAAATTGTGGTTTGGAATTAGATTTCTTATTTTTTTTTTATGTCATTAAAGAGCTCCTTATTTCCTCTCAGTTCTCTTCCGATAGATTTTTTAGTTTGTTGCAAACAGTTCAAGTGATGCGTAGCTGATTAGTTCATTGCTGACGCGACTGTAATAAATGTTTAGTTAATACGTTCCGAAACACATTTTTGATTACTGAACAACATATAGTGCCAACACCTTGCTTCTGTGCGCTTGTGTACGGTATGAACCTTTCGGTGTTTTTGTGACCAAACTCTCAAATCACGGAAATTGTACATCAGCGGCCAGCTTTAATTTTTTTTAGCGTAAACTTGGTTTGAACTTTTTGCAGTCTAAGAGTGAATGCAGAGCTTCTTTTTTCTGATTTTTTGTTTATGACTTAGATTTTTGTATCACTTTGCCATGTTTAATTTGTTTGGAAAAAGCAAAAGTGTTTTTTTTTTCAAGATCAGGTTTAAAAAGGAACAAACCAACGTGAATTGTAACAGCCTCTTGCCTCTTTGACTCCACGCGCGTTTCACCTCAAGTTATCGAATTATCACCCAGAGGGTGAATTGCGTTGCATGAAACGTGGAGTCAAACAGCTTTGCGGACAAACACAAATTTTTAAATTAAAAAAGTAATTTTTATTCATTTATTTAGATCCCCTTTCGTTTTCTTCAGTGAAAATACTTGTAAATAAACAACTGTTTCTCGCCGCCTTAGTATTGAAAACCATTGTAACCTTAGTAATTTATTTTGTTGTCACAGATCGCAATATATGTATCGTAATATTCATGAATTTTTGTTCAACTCAGCAAGTGTTTTTGTTTACGTCATTACAGGAAATGAAATGATCAAGTTATTACAATCCCAAAGTTATTTATGAAGCTGAGTAGTGTTTCAAAGTTTGTCCTAGAACTTTTTTTTATTGATCCCTTTAATTTGCAAGATTAAAAAGCAAAATATACCGACCCACAAAAGGTATATTTGGAGTGAATTTATAGACATTTCGCTTATATTTTATACAGTCAGTCTAGTGACCAAGAAAGAACTTATTGTAAAAAGAACTTGTAAATCTCGTATGGTATATCTAAAACATGTCCTTTCCTTAAAAAAGGTCTTTGTTGATGTTTATGCATAAAATTTATTTTCTGGAACTGTTTATTTTCATCGGAAGCGAAGCGTTAAGAACAATAACACTTTCATCGTGTCGCTATCCTTATTGAATATTGCGGCGGATTTTACCAACTTAAGTTTTATTTTAGTATAGTAAAATTCGCTAATTAAATTTGATATTTGACAAACGAAAAATTATGAAGAAAACCGCCTTTTCTTAGACACATTGATAACTTTCCTTTCCCAACTAAACAATGACGTATATCGTAGAACGGGCCCTTACGACAAGAACTTTTTCTAGTCTAATATGCATTAGAATAACGCAGATAAAGTTGATTTTAAAGTGTTTATTGATATCCATGTAAAGAGAAGAGCTAGTGCCAATGCTGCCAAAATACTGATAATTTTTGCTTCAGGACGTCTTCAGTTTCAAAGTAAATCATAACGTAAGTATGTTTTTTTTTTCTGGAAGTTCCGCGCCACGGCCTTAGCTGTGATGCAAGAGCCGGTCAGGGATTGTTATAATTCTTTCGGTCGTCTAATAATTTTAAGCCTTTTTGCCGCTCATTTTACTGATCTAAGTTACAGTGCTTATGTTCAGCGTTATCTATTCGCCTTGAAAGGCAGCCGTTGTTTGCACAAGTATAATTTATTTCTACTGTTATGCGTCAATTCTCATGTGTGTATTATTCACTCATCTCATAAGTTGTTACGGATAAAGAAAATGGAAATTGCAAATCTCATCAGCTCTCAATCGATTGTGCGTAAACTTCGGCAGAAAGCCCGAATGCCAGAGATATTGAGAAACAAGAACAGAAATTAATACTTTTAAAAATCCGGCTCAGATTTTTAACGTTCCCATATTTCCGTTGTGATCTTTTCTTTACTCATTACCGCAAAATAACAATTTACGAGCTCCTGGCAATTTAAATGACTACCGAGATTTGAGATTTACCCGTTATATAGTAGCTTCTTTTCTCCCGGAGCTTTTGCAAACGGCCTCATTGTCCAGAGTGCTGATTGTTATACCTGTCCCACATCAGTAAACAAGTGAAATGTTCAGTCACCGCACATGATATAGCTAAAGATTTGTTAGTCAGCCGTCGTGAGCCAAAGGGCTACTGGTGCGACTCACTAGTGAACCAAGATAAGAAAAGCTAGAGGTGATCTTCATTTTACAGATATCAACGACTTAAATTGAAGTGTCAAACTAAATCTCATAGCGTACATATCTGTGTAGAGATTCAAGGTTATGCGTCCCTATATTTTGGACTGAGTTGAATTTCGGAAAGTTTGAACTAGGAAGGAATTGTTCGACTCGATCCGGCCCTAGGCTTCACGTTTGGGCCATTACTATGACAAAAGGAATTTCACAAAGGAAGTACACTGTATGTGTCAAACTGATTGAAAAGGGCAGTTCTTTTAAATGACTTTTCTAGCAGAGATGCAACTGATCTTATAGGATTTCTATTGCAAAACGATTAATATTTTACACACTTCTTTCCTGATCCGAGTATGTTTGTCCTCGAAATGTAACTGGTTACAATAATAAACTTGTGCTGTATAGGTTTCTAAAAATTTTAACCCACGCATTTTTATAATTTTTCTTCCATTTACACTTTACACATTTGTCAGCATATCGCTTAGTTATAGTCCTGCTAATCTGCAAAACGAGCCTGTTCCAGCGGGGCGAAGTAAACAAAAAAAAGGAAAAAAGAAATGTAAAAGAGGGAGGGGTGGCGGGGGGAGGGGGGAGGTTTGAGAGAGAGGGCAAGATTCCCTAGGCGCTCTCCCTAAATCCCTCCCCCGCTTCTATTTTTTCTCACTTTCTTTTCTTCGGGCCTCTCCTAACTATCTGACTGTCACCTGGAATAGGCTACCCGCAAACAAGGTGTTTTTCTCAGTTGTGGACGCGAAGTTTTTTTTCCTACCTGTACACCATTATTACTTCACATCTGTTATTTTTTGGGAGATTTTCTTTTTCGATTTATAGCAACTAGGGATTTGGATTTCTTACTGTATAAATACAAATTAAATACATAAAATATTCGAACGGATATTATTTTCTCTCAGTTCTTTTACCGCTGTACCTTTTTGATAAGTACGTTGGTCAAGGACTTTTTCTGTAATTTATTGTTCTCTGCTTTTTCTAATGCACAGGAGGAAAGAAGTATGAAATATACCCTTGTAAAATCTCTTTTGTTATGGTTACTTGTATACAGGCCAATCTACAAGCATTTAGCCTGGCCAGGCTTGCGGACAGTAAACCATATTAGGGACGTCGCAAAAACAAGGTCAAGGGAAAAGAGATCGCGCGTGATCTGGAAAAGAGGGCGAGGCCTTCTCTCTGCCCAGCCCCTGTGCGTTTTTCGCATCCGTTTTAACAGTTTTCGCGATCTACTTCTCGGAGCCTGGAACAGGCTAGGTAGTATCGCTCTCTCCGTTTTCTGAAACAATCCCATTTCGACTTCATAAACGGTCACATAAAGCTACATAATTAGGTATGATTTAGACCGGGAATTAAAATTTAGCAAATTTAAAAGTCTAACTTTGAGCGCACTTGAAATCAGTGGCTCCCAAATACAAGTGATGTATTTTCAGTATATATAAAGGTTTTTCTAATCTGGGCTCGGTAAGCCTTTCTCATACTGTAAAAGCAAACAATGTTTAGATGTGGAGTTGGCAAAGAGGTTTTGTCAATAGACACCGTATTATGTCTGTGTTCATACAGCTAAGCATACACTGCCTACTGTATCATTGTAGAGTATTAGTAATGCAAACAAGTTTTACAGAGGCCAACATTCTCTGATTTCAGAAAGGATTCAATTTTTTAGCTCTCAGACTGTTTCAGAGAGATTTACCAGTGTGATCTATTTTCTCACTTATGCCGGTATCCACACTTTGATAGACGGAGATACGAAAAGAAAATTGTATCCCTATCCTGGAATACGGAAGTGTGTTTTATCTAGTACAACATACTGACGACCAAAACGAAGAAAACTAAGAAGGCAAGGGGGGTCTCAAGATTATAGATGAGACTCTAAAGAAAGAGAAGTTAGCACTGGGAGAAGGAGGGGTCGTGTGGGGGTACTCTGTGCTAGTTCAATTGTAAAGATAGACCTGCGAAAATTACCTGAGGCCACTCTAGCTTAGTGATCAGTGGCAATTCTTATCATGGACGTTATCGCCTTCCACCGTCTTCACTTCACTACCTTACCGGTGTCATTTTTACATTCCACCGTGGGTAGTTTTTAGAGATGACTGGAGACGTTGTTTTGGTAAAGAGCAGGCTAATCTGAAAGGGAAAAAGGGTTTTTGAAGCTTTATCTGGGTTATTGTGCTCTGGGCCAATAAACCTGGCTTGATTGTTTTTATCGAAATCACTCTTTTAAATGTTTAAAAAACATTTACAAAACATACAACTCTTTTGAAAAATGCATATTTTCATAATTGCGAGCGACCAACAGACCCTATTTCGAGCTAGTTATACGGCCGTCCGGCGGGCATTACTCATTAAAGGTTCGGTGTACTCCATTGTCGTGGAGTAACTGAGTTAAAAAAATATATATATATCATATAAAACACAAAAACACATAAAAAGAGCCATGCAAACACAACGCAAAAGTCGTAGACAACCAGGAATTTCTCAGTGCGCATTTTATTTCCACGTTCGCTTTGTCCGCATACTCAAGTGCGGCTTGCCCTAATTTTAACATCGTCTTAGGGTGATGTTACACGAGACGATTCGCAACGACGATTTTTAGCGTAACACAGCGTTGCAAAATCGTTGCGACATTGTTTCGTTTGGTTACAACATTGTTCCAACTTTGCAGCGCTGTGTTGTACTAAAAATCGTCGTTGCGAATCGTACCGTGTAACATCA